TGAGGGAGACTACCGCCCCTCTTCAAACCCCCCAAACAGAAGGGGACACATCCCCCTTCTGGCAACCCCCTGATGTATCTTTTGGTTGGATGGCCGCGCCGAAAAAGTGGTCAATTTTTTAAACAACATTTCTCAAACGAAAACATGTGTTTGGGGCCCAAACAGGACATTTTTTCACTATTTGAGGCCTTACAGGGGGGGGGGGCAAGTGCGTTGTTTCGCGTATATATGAGGTAAAGGGTTAAACCTCAGTGGAGTCGCTTTAAGCAAACGGCAGTGGACAGTAAATTAAGCTGTTAGTAGTAAGCAATGTGCCGTAGGCAGTAAACAGAAGACAGGAAGCTAGACACAGTCCTTTGCGATGTCAGCAAAATATTCGTAATGTTTTAACGTCTTGTATTATAAGATTTTCACAGTAAGTAGTGCACAATACACAGTCACTATCTAATGTTTGTTTTATGTTCGAAAATGTTTTCCATATGACCAACAAGACGTTCAGCTTTCTTGGTGGAGTAAGACCCGAGGTGCCACTCTGGTCATTTTCATATCCAAACGGGCACTTGGTTAGAACCAACCGCTTTCCCGCTTAAGCAATACGAAATTCGTTTTCGGTATTCAAACACAGCGGTTAGGGGTAAGGGGTATTCAAATTTATGATAGAAAATCATAAACTTCCAGTAGAAGTTGGATATTTTTTATTCATAAAATAGATACATGTACAAAATTTATAATTAGCTTTAACTCACATTACACAGTATTATATTTTTTCCATCATAGTCCGATAAGTTATCAAATTAGCTTTTTAAAAATACGATTTGCTTAGAAAATTGTTATGCACGACAATCACGTTCAGATATATAACATGCTTGTGCTAATGTCTTATAAGTAAGTAATTGCATTTTTCTGTTGATATAAGGTTTCATACAATACATGCAATGCATATTTCGGGATTTTTTTCTAATATATTTCAATAAAAGCTACTAAGTGTTAAAGCATTTGACTTTCTCCATCAAAAAGACATTTCAAGTTTTTGAATAAACTGTTTCTATAACACGTTTTATGTGGTAAACTTAACCACAACTGTCACGCTAAATAACTGCTATTTTTCTTCTATTTGCACAATAAAACATTAACTAGAACTGTTCTGTAAACAAACGATTAAATAAAGAAACGCATAATTAGAGACAGGCTTTGGACTCCTCATTTCGCTGGGTTCCCTTGCTCGTCAATGTTTTACTTTTTAACAATCAGATTCCACAACCCTGGTGATTTTTGCCACAAGCTCGGGTTCCTCATCTAAAAGTGTTATTACACATTTCTGAAATTCAATGAATACCATACCGGTAGGCCAGAAAACTGTGTTGGGTCCAAGTATAACTAGTAACTTGCACCTCGTCATCATCATCAACGTCCAATATCATGCCAGGGTATCATATGGCAAATAATCGTTCATGACCACACAGTATTTTCCTATTAACGAATCTTCTACGCAATAATTATACTAGAACAAGGCCATTCGTTTCCTGAAAATAGATAAATAAATACTTTTATAACTCGAGCCATTGGTCATTGGTATAAATTTGTCTATTGATAAATTTAAATACATAGAGGATATTAAATGAGTGTAAGTTTAATACTGAATTTATTGAACGAGTTTTATAAATTTTTTAATGCGAGTCTCAGGCAAATATATTATTTTATTCAACGAGTTCAATATTACTAAATTTTAGTAATGAACTTGTGAACATGAAATTAATTTTCAATCATATTCATTACGCACCAAACACAAAGACTGTTTGAAGTGATAAAGAAACGTTTTTCATTGTAGCGCCTATAGTATAACACTAACGTTTCTTAAGTAATGCTATGTTTACATAATGCAAATGACGTCCCGTCAAAATATATGCACGACCGTGCAAAACCATTTTTACGGAGTTGCAACGTGATGAACTTTGTTTGAAAATGAATTGCTAATCTATCGTCATATTGTGCTATTTTCATACGATAACTATTTTACTGTAAAATATATACGATCATTAAAATGTTTCATAAAATGTAAAATTCACTAAAATAACCAAAAGTTCATTTTTTTTCTACTTACTTATCTCTCTGTTATTGTATATTTGTATCATTCGTTGTGATCTCATTTTGAGAAACTGCTGAAAAATAACCCACAATTTAAATAAATCGCATGGAATGTCATAATGCATCTTTTTAAAGCAAATTATCAATTTTAAATTCATTATTTTGGTGTGTTTTCGTCGTATATCATTAAAAAAAGACATTGACTTACCTTCCTTGAGTTGACTATCTACACCATCACAGGATGCGCTCTCGTTAGCCTGAAAAAGGGAAAACCAAAACAGCCCATTATCATAAGAGAATATTGAATGAGTGTAAGTTTAATACTGAATTTACTGCACGAGTTGAATAAAATTATATTATGCGAGCCTCTTGTGACCATAATATTATTTTATTCAACGAGTTCAATAAATTCAGTAATGAACTTACACGAATTTAAAATTCTATTTATCACATACCCAAAATTAAGACGGTTTAAAGTGAAAAAAGAGTAATTTTTCACTGACGCGCCTATAGTACGTGTATAAAGCTGCGGTCTCACTTACTCCCGGCAGAGCCCAGGACCATCCCGGTAAGTTACCGGGATGATCCGGGACGATCCGGGGTGCAATTATTGTTGCGGTCACACTAACCACGGCAGAACTACGGTTATTCCGAACTAACCACCCAGGATGCGCTCCGGATCATCCAGGCAGAGCCCAGGTGAAGGTACTGTTCATGCCGGCGCTTCCCCGGTCGTTCCCGGATGACGCCGGAAGAGCCCCTGTTGACATAGTGTACATTATTCCGGATGTTTTGTAAATCATTTAAATTTGCATAATTACATTTATCGTATGCACTGTCCATGACAGAGGGGCCAGACATTATATAATAATAAAAAAATGCTTTCACTGATGCCTACCTGGTAAGGAAAGTATTTCCAATACAAACAAGACTTGTAAATGTAATGTGACATCACAGTAGTGCAACATTGTGTCACTACTGTAATATTAGATGATAAAAAATATCAAAACATGTACATTTTCTAACTGTTACGTTATCGCCGCTGTAATACCACGACTTTTAAGTCCCTGTTCAAATGTAGAATTATGATAATAAAAATGTAAAAAGGCATATCTTAATAAGATATGACCGAAATTAATAGTTCATGTAAATAAAGGGAGGTAATTTGAAATATATTTTTGATGAAATCTTGGTCAGATTTTCAATGATAAAATATAGGGACCTAAATTTATTATTTTTTAAAACTGATTTATAATGTATATAAAAATATTGTAAATATATAAATGTTACACATTCTTTGATGTTTAAAAATTGTTTCAGTACATAATTTCAGTTCGCTGTATGTAGCATCCTTAACTAATTTCAACATACAGGATCTAAAATGTAATAACGATTTATTTACCTTTACAAATCTACAAAGTTTTACGAAGTCATAATAGGAACAAATAGAATAGAAAAAGCAAAGTCCCTAAAGAATATAAATAATAATAATGAAACTGGATAAAAGCAAAGAAATATGAAATTGTTGCAGACTGATTTGATAAAGCATGTTCATGAACGGTACGAGTAAATGCAAGCTACCGAAATTTTTGTTATCATCTAAAAGTTTAATAATATTCTACATGTATTACTCTTTGAATACAATTTAAGAGCATTATTTTGACATAACAACAATTCTAACAAAAGGCAAAATGGTTGAACAGCAAGTTCTAGCAACATTAGCAACTGTCCTTTCCTTAAGCATTATAAGATGCTAAAGTCAAGGGCGTATGAAGGGATGATGATACAAGACTTAAAGCAGGCAGACATCAAAATCAAAATGAATGTAAAAGCAGGATAAATCGAATGATGACTTAAAGTCATTGCATGCGAAATTCATCGTGAAATTTCGTAGCGATGTTTGTCAGCTGAGACCGTTTTTGATCTGTTCAAAGCAATAAAAACAAATTTGAAAAAAGTAACGATTGCAGACTCGAGTCTGTTCGCGAGAGCTGATGAAAGGTGCAACATCTCTCACTTACACCCTAGCACCGACATAATCAGTCTTCAAACTTCGATGAGCAACCGGAGAAAGACGTCGACAGGGAAGTATGTTTATACAATATTGATAAAAATCTGACATAAAAACTAAAACATCATGTCACACACATATCGTACAATATATATGTGCGATACAAACGATGTGGTGCTGAAAGTCACTTGATCACCAGAACTGTATGCAAAGAGATTGTCCTGGGAAATTGTAGGATAAGTTTAAAGACGAGGAATGCAATTTGCAGTTATCCTGAAAAGTTTGAAGATCAAATAAATTTGAAAAAATTGCATAATTCTTTACGGGCATGGTAGTGTTCATCCGTGCTGTTCTACAAAATTTAGAAAATTCGACCGGGGGGGGGGGGATAGTTCTACTTTCTGTAATACAGCTACGGATGAATACCTATACTTACATATATCTTGTATTTAGTGTCATGTTTTTATTTGGCTTCATTGATATTCACTTTATAACGTCAAGAAGACTTTTACGAACGCGGTTCTATGAAGCACTATGAAAAATAGAAGGGGACTATGAACAAAATTTGATATAGTATCGACTTTTGTTGTTCGTGAAAATTAGCATACATTTTTTAAAGAAATTCAGCGTTTTCATTGGATGACAAAAAAAGCTGGACACTAAAGCAAAAGAAAATGTTAGAATTATAGACCCTTCATTTAAGACCGGATTCAAGTTGTCGCCCTTGGATGACGTCAAGACACGGTGTTAATAAAAGGGTTCCGCAGTGAATAGATCGATAATGAAACAGAATGAACCTGTCGCCACATGTTTAATTTACGACATCTTTACATAATGAATTAAGAATATTATTAGATAACTTTCAGATCTAAATCGTGTGCCCTAGTTTGCCTTATCTTTGACGTCATTAGTAAGGTCAAGGAGTCAGATTAGTTAGGTCTAAATAGTCAGACCAATATGTATTTGTCTGGTGAGTTTATTTTATCATTTTATCTCAAATATTTTAATCCAAATATAGAGTTTATAATACACTTATAAATGAAATATTGACAAATAAAATCGTTATTTCACTTTCGGTATTCCCATTGTCAAAATTTATTTTGTTTCACTAAAGGGAATATATTTTCCGTATTTTCACTGATGTCTTGTCGAACTGCTTTCTTTCTAAATTCAGCCAATACACTTACTTTAAGGGAAAGTCTTTTAAACTGTAATGTTACGTGTAAATGTATATAATAAACAAATAAAACATTGTCAATAATTAAGTGTTTTCACAAGTCAATGTTATTGGGCTTTAGACTGTCATTTTAGCCTTCGGACTTTGGCCTCAAGCTAATTAATCCCAATAACAAGGCAATTATGAAAACACTTGGTTATTAACATTAAAATTGTCTCTAGCTCTGTCGAAGTTACGACATAATTATTACATGAATCCATTCACATGACATAATGTAACGAAATTTTCGACAAAATTTTGTGAAACACGAGATTTTGTAATTGTTTAATACACAGAATACATCGAATGGAAATATTTATATTTTTTAACAAAATATGCACAAAATAGATCAAATTTTGGTATATTATTTCGATATATATCATTATTTACAAAATATTTCTCCCCAATTATAATTTTAGAATTTTCCATCTCCCTTTATTGTCTTAATTAAGAGGTATTGGACAAAGGTGAAACGCACGCGCGTATGTGTTCTATGCTTAATAAGGGTCCATCAGCCTTTCAGGCACTTAAAGAACGGGCCTGGATATGTCATCAGTCATGTCCTTAAATGTTTTTTATCATATGCCAAAATGTTACCTATAAATTTTGAAAATAGTAATTCACTGAATGATACTCAATATGTATGCAAGTCGATTTTTATGATGTTTAAATGATTGTGACCATTATATGCATCAAGGCACTAATGTTGTATTGAATCACGGTATATCTAATGTGGAATTGTTTTTGAAATATCTGAAATACTCCCCAGTTAATCAAAAGTGTTAAAGGCATATTTTCAATCACGTTTAGTTTTATAATTAATAATTTACTGTAAAAATAAGTACTAATTTCTATTTTTAGTATAGGTAAGTATTTACAAAATTAAATTGGTCAGGCGCGGCCCAGCCTTTCTAATAAACTTTTACCATTGGACAAACAATAATTTCAAACACTAACTGTTTAAATCGCTATTGTGTAGATCTTGCAGATGTGTTTTTACAAAGTTGCAGATGTATAAATAAATATATTATTGCTCGTTGAATTAAATACATACTAAACTGAAGGTCTTTCAAAAACGCATGCTTCGTATAAGACCATTTTTACAACGTGAGCGATTAATCACCATTTTCGATATATTTACTAGTTTCAGTTGTTAATTTTATGCTTTATAAAGTTTATATATGATGTAAATTAGATGTATTCCTTTGTATTTTTGTAAAAGATATTAAACCGGTACTACAAGTCATTAAGCATAATTATGTCTTACTTCTAAATGATATATTATATAAGGAGAAGATTCTTTTAATATTCTATTGTTATCAACAGCATGGGTTGCAGTGTTGCTAGGGAGTGTAATCGAACTGCCACTCGGTAAGTGAACAAAATATATTAGTGTTTCAATTTAACAAAATCACAAGGAATTAAACAACTTATATTTAGATGCGAATTGTGCTAGTTTTGACATGTACTGATTGAATTATTTTGCAATAAAGTCAAAGTAGTACTTCACTTTGATCATATTCTAACGTCATGTGCAATATAATAAATTACAAGCCGTGAAGGAGACCGACGCTCAAGGAACGCAGCCCCAACAATATCTAGATGCTTTGTTGTGTTTTACGTCGCAACAAACTAGAAGAAGTCATATGACGAATTGCCAGCTATACTGGTGAAGAAAAAACCTCCGTGCATTATTTCAGGCATGAACGGGCTCCGGAGTGGAACCATCGACGTTCTGTATGCTAGCTTAATAGTTTCCTCACATGAAAGAATCCAAAGTCCCTGGCGGGATTCGAACACACAGCGATGGGGGGACAATGTCTTGTCATACAAGTACACCGGCAATGGCAGATGTACAAATCAAAATTAAAATAGAACCGGAACATACTTTAGAGAACAGTATTCAAATCGTAACATGTTTTATTTTTTTCGTTAGTGTTGTCATTTACGACGTGTTATTTAAGAAATAATATATCCCAAACTGTGATTTTATCGCTCAATTTCGGAGTTCGGATGCGGGGAATTATATCACGAGGGCGTAGCCCGAATGATATAATGATGCGCATCCGAACGACAAACAGTGATTTTATCAAGCAATAAAATCACCGATTTGGATATATTATTTCGATTCTAACACGACATCAACAAATAAATGCAGTCGTACTTGATATTAAGCTAAATTGCGCCCGATTTGTTTCCTTACTTATTGTCAGCGCGTCACATTTTTAGTGGTTACGTCACGTGTATAATGATTAAGTCACATGTTTAAATATTGTCGTCAATTGACGTCAAACAGTGACTTTATAGCATAATAACACACACTTTTCGGTTCTTCTATATTCAATAGGGAAAAATGCCGTCGTGTTAGAATACAATATAATTATGTTGTAATATATGTTTGTCACATACCCGTGCCGATTTTTAAACAGTTTTTATTTGGGGTATGTGATGGATAGAATATTAAATTCATGAAAATTGGTAAATTTACGGAACGAGTTGAATAAAATTATATCATACTAGTCAGAGGCTCGTATCACCTAGCACTATTAATTCAGTATTAAACTTATACTTATTCAATTTCCTCTATATATCAGATTTTGTATTGCTTTTTATAGTATATTTTTTTGTTTATCTTAACTTACTAAGACTACAACATTTAAGTTTATGTTTTCTTTGAATTTTGTTTTCAATTAAAGCTGTACGTTTTTTGTTCAATTTATTTTGATTTCAGCTTCCGCCTTCCTGATCGATCACTGGAATACAGGTAAACCTACCAAAGTCTGATATAATAAAAAAAATTGTTAAAAATGTGGTGCTAAATATATTTTAACTTGAAATATTAAGCAATGTAAATGTAAGATAAGCCATACAAAAGTGAGTACCTCCTTTTTTTAAAGAGTATTCGTTTTCAGTCAACACGAGGCGCGGGCTCAAACCCCACCGAAGACAAACTTTTTTCTCAGTTTTTGTATTTCTTTCTTTTTGTGTAGTCAGATTGTGGATTTTTAATCTTTAAGGGCACACTATGCCTCAGAAACCAATTTTTAAATACATACAAAATTCTATAACTATACTAATTGTCAAGAAGCAAGAGACACAAAATGTGGTTCTGGTAATTGACCAATGAGTAACTTTTTGAAACTAAAATAGGACACCAAAAAATAAAAAAATAAATAAATAAATAAAATAAAAAAAAAATAAATAAGAAAGTAAATATCAGCTTTTGTGAATTAAAAAAAAGCATTTCGGGATAGGCCTTTAATTAAGAAATATTTGCAGTTTTACATAAACCTTTTAGTTTGAATTTGGTAAAAATAAGTAGTTTTGCAGATTAAAATGATTATATTTCCAAATCCGGATAGTAAATCTCCCTCATCTTTTACAAATATACAACTAGACCTCCACAGCGGAATGCTAAAGGTCGCCTCTGTGAATAAAAGCTAAAGATAATGAATGTATTTTTGATTTTTTCCAGCGACAACTCACAGTAGTCATATCAGTCATCACTGTTTTTCCTACAGCAGTTACAATGGTAAGATATCTTGGTAGATTTATGAATATATTTCTTTCTCAAATATCCGGGCCAAAAACAAACGATGTTTAAATCATAAGTTTCCTTCGCTGCAGTTCTTTTGAAATTTGCGTTATAAAAGTTTACTGTGAAAGATAAATATTTTCTCTGCTGTTCACAAATATAATTATTAAATTAATGAATTAAGGTAATCAAAATACCGATACGTTCTCCGTTCTATCTATGGATGCTCATTTTTTTTTATAGTTTTTACAAATAAAAAAAGGATCTGTGAGAATCTGTTTCTTAAACATACTGAATGCTTATTATCTAAGACAGTCTGTAGCATTGCCGGATTTCCTTATATTTCTTTCATACACGAAATATGCTTAATTTTTCGTACCCACCCATAATAATTACTCAGTAAGTGACGACCGTAACGTACGATGTCTCAGCAACGCGATTTTACAGCCATTGTCCATTTTGGCTATACAGTGTGAATATAAGCATTTCCAAAAATACTAGGAATCGCTTTTCAGTCAGATATAAGAGCGTTATTTTGTGAGACTCCTCCCAATAAGGCTACAAAATGATAAATAAAAATACCCCGAAGAGCGCGATTTATTGACGGAAAAGGTTATTTCATTTGAAAATGTTTGCATTGCGAAAGTCTCCAGTTCGCTATTCATTGTATATATCGCGACATTGTAATCAAGCACCCTCATACTGATCGGAATGATCGGCTTTTATTATGTCCGACTAAAAGGCTCGAGAAGTTGATGTCGCCCTTTCTCATTCCCTAAGAGGCGCCGCGCTTCGGCGCGGCCGCCAATAATAGCTTACACACTGGTTTCGGGCTTCGTGCATGTAATGTAAAGTAAAGTAAATTAAAGTAAAGTAAATTAATAAAAAGTAGAGAGAATTATTATATTTTCTGGAATATAAGTTTTTTTTCTTTTAAATCATTAAATAAAGTATAACGAGTAGACATTTTTTTCTAGAATCTTTTCATTTCAGTGCTCCGTCAGCTTGGGGACGCAAATGCATGTTTGAGCGCCAATTCCGGTAATTGTGTATCACTTTATATTACAATTATACTTCTCACGTTATAAAATATATTGTTAATTAAAATGTTATTGTCACTTGCCCGTAACCGCTGTGGGTTTGAATCTCGATAGTGACTTTGTATTTTATCATGTCAGGAGGCTATCCAGCTACCTAGCTACGGAACCTCCATTGTTCTTCTCGGGTTTGTATTATACAAAGTGGTAGCACCTAAAATGCATGAAAAAGTATGCTTTGTAGTATTAAAGAGGGCTGTAAATTAAATATAAAATGTTCTTCATCTGATAGAATAAAAAGTATGCTTTATCTAGTATTATAGACGGTTGTAAATTAAAACTTTAAATGTGCTTGATCTGATGGTTGTAACTTGTATATGTGCTCTTATATAGATTATAAAAATGTGTGCTTTATTCAGGACTGTAAATTTACTCTAAAAAGTACTTTATCTGATAAATTAATATTTGTTTTTGCTATATTATTTTCTAGTTTGGCAATACCTTGATAATCTTCAAGTAAGAAGTCCTTCATGCCGGAAAGAAATTCAAAAATATTTAGCAGGTCGGTATTTAATTGAAATATATGTCTTTATGATGGCTTCCAATCCATATATTCGGTGACGGCGTCTACATGACAAAGTTTTAAGATAATGAATATTATTCATTACACAGCACTCACTGTTATGCAAGAGCTATACGTCTAAATGAACGCCATGCCAAAGGTGGTGCCCTTGATTTCACAATGGGTTAAGCGGATAGAGCACATCGGGCAATGTTTTTAAAGCCCGAATCCGAAATACGATGAATTTCATAAGTTCAAGGGCTTCTACAGATGGTAATATACGATAAAAAGGACATTGGCGATATTCTAGCATAAAAGTATAAGTCAGATGAATTTGGTTATTCCGCGCTCCCTTTATACATTGTAAATCACATTAAATTACACAACAACTGTAAGCTACTTACACACCAAGTTTGGTGTTAATAGGCCAAAGCAAACTAATGTTATTGAGCGGAAACCAAGAGTTGACTTCGGCATTACAATAACCAGTTTTCGTTGAAAACCTGGTAAATTTAAATCAAACACTTGTTTTCTTTCCATAAATGATCTGAGACATTCAAAAATAATATTAAAAAGGAAAAAAGGTTGTTCCTTGCAGGGTTTGAACACATGCTCATCAGCTCTCATGCAGGTGACATTGGTTCTTGCCTATTTGAATACTCTTTAAAGCGGAGGTAATGCATTAGGAGTATACTCCCTTAATGCAAGAATATCTGTTAAGTATGCTTGAGGGTGTTACACAGTAAAGAAAGAGGGATTTATGAAATCGTTTCTTTATTGTGGCATATACAAACTCACTACTTGCCCATTTTAAACCTTTCAGCGGTTCTAATTGGGAGATCTTGCTCTTTTTTCATTTATCTCCGCCTATTTGCTCTAATCTAACATACTTAAATGACAAACATTCACAAACCCTTATTTCCTAAAAAAACAAAAAAAAAAAAAACAAAGTATAATTCTACAGCTTATTATCACTGATAAAGTGAGATCCGGATAGCAACCTGTGGATGGAAATTGTATATTAAATTTTAATGAATAAATGAACTGTAAAAAATCAAATACATATTCTAAAGTTGATATACAGACGGCAAATTTAACATGTTCTATAAAAAAGGACTTTATAACTCCTACGTAGGCCATAAAAAAGCCTAATTAGGAATTTATAACTCCTACGTAGGACTTTAGGAGATAAAAAACCTAATTAGGAGTTTATATGTCCTAAGTAGGAGAATTAGGATTTTATAACTTGTACGTAGGGGATGAAAAAGCCTAATTAGGAGTTTATAACTCCTTCGTAAGAGATAAAATGGCCTTATAAGGACTTTATATCTCCTTCGTAGGATATATATCAGAGTGCTGAAAGCACAGAGTGCGACGAACAAGTATGCCAGAATATAACTTAGTAAAGCAAATACGAGTATTATGTATTATGTATAAATTATATGTGTCAAATTATTATTGTGGCAAGTCGCTTTAGTAAATACACAAATGTACCCTTTTTCTGTAGCCAGAGATTATTTTGAGCGAAATAACCGCAACTCAATAATCTGAATTATTTTGAGCAATACAACTAGTTCCGAAAATTGAACTCATTAAACGGTGATTCTGTTTTATGTACCTTGAGTTATATTGATTATACAAAAAATGTATGGGTTAAAAGTAGGATATAATTCATTTTTTCAACTTATGCATGCTAAACTAATCAACATGAAGCCTTCAATACATATCCTTATACCGTTACCTGTAGTAGATTTTTTGTACATTTTATCAGTATGTTTGTATGTACTTGCTTACTGTTAATAAATTACTTTCAGATAAATATGCGAAAACTTCACAATCCAATGACGGATGCGTTTGCAATGCTCGAACAGCACTAGTCGACCATGAAATATATAGAATAAGTGAGTAGCATTCACTATTTCAATATATACAGTGTTCCCTATTTTCAAAGGATTGGTTTATACACAAGGGTACACAGCAATGCTTTGGTATGGTATGGTTACTAAATAATAATCATTTTTCGGACGAGCACACTTCATGTTAAAAGAATAATACACAATACATGATAAAGTATTAAACTGGTAGATGGTTTCTTTGCTGAAATTGGCATTATTTGTTTAATAACTTATTTGAAATACAACAACCTTCTCAAATGAATGCCCGGTCTTCACATTTGAAAGCTAAGAACTTCACAATACAATAACAAGAAACATGGCCAAATACGATTCATATGGCCGAATCAGCATATTTGTCAATATATTTCCTCAAAGAACATAAGTCAATATATAAAAGCAGTAGGATAGGAGAAGTGTCAAAATCTACATAAGATCCTGTAACCTTGACCCCGTTAATCTAAAGTTAGAGGACAACCGTAGCTGTATATCTACCAAATATAATATATAGGCTAGTTCATCGATGGAGGCTGCATGAGCGAAAGTGTAAAATTCTTTTAGTTTCGTTATTTTTACCTTGACCTTAGTGACCACAACTTCCACACATATTTTTAGGACCATGTAAGATATTTACCTACCAAATAAGAAAGACATCATTAAATAAGTAAAGGCGTGATAAGCAAAAATATAACTGTATACGTTGGCCTTGACCTTAGTGTCCCTTACATAATCCAAGTTGGAAGACCATACAAAGTATCTCCCAAAAGTCAGGCAGTAAACAAAAAGCTGTGTGAATTAGAGTATAAAAGTCGGCTTTTAAGTGCCAATAACCTTGACCAGTGTAGGAAGTATAAACATCTGAAAAAAGTGTGATCCCTCGAAAGTATGAAAACAACAAAATAACATGGAAATTGCAGAATCGGTTTTATTGAGTCTGCACCTGAGGGATAATGAAAAAATATCAACATCCTTCACGCCCCGAAGCACCGGCTTGAGCGGTACTCAATACTTTACATTTAATAATGCAGGAATCAATGATCCTGAAAGACCAGAAAAAATATAACAACACTAAAGTGACGGCCATAAAAGGCATTTCCCTACCAAAAATAAAAGAATTCAAATATTTCATAATGAGTAACGGCGAAATCAGCAAAGGTGTTAAATATTTTCAAGTACTAGTATTCTAAAGGAAAATTAAGAAAGCTAACTCTCTCTGGTCTCTATCACTCTGTGATTTGTAAATAAAATTACTTCATTTCTTTTCAAGTTAAGGGAGATAGTAGCCTGGGTTCCTGTCTGTCGATTTTGTCTGTGCTTCTGTTCGGCAGACAGTATCAAAAAACACAAACGAGTACGAAATAGCGTGTATGTTAGGAATAAATAAAAATATGAACGCCTGTCCTCAAGGCTAGGGAGATAGGTAAAAACCCATATTACGCATAGTTATGATTCTTTAACACTACAATTCTTCATAAATATGTGTAATTTCAATGAGATATCAACTTAAGTGTTAAAATGTTATACAACGAATGAGCAATTTTTATTTTTTTGAAATTTAAATAATTCTGGATACAAATATCCTGTGTACATTGTGTACGTCAATATTTTTCAAGTTAATCTCTGGTGTATGATAAATGATAAAGGGGTGGGGTGGGGGGTGGAAGAGCGGGACAATTAAACAATTAAACAATGATCAGCAAAGGCCTTTTGACACAGCATTTTCTTTCACTAGTTTCTGGAACGATGTGAAGTTAAAACGAGATATCATTGATAGTTTAAAAGTTACACCTTGACTAACACTTATTGAAAATCAACAAAATTAGTAAGGTAGATTTGTAATTCTTGTACACTTCATTTCCCCTAAATCGTCTCTATCAATATGGTTTCTTGTGCCCTGTCCTGTTTTTGTTTGGGGTCCGCCTGGGCTCCTTGCCACTGGTTCTTGTTGCTGGGTCGTATTGGGGTTGCGTTCATTGAACGCCGCCTTTCCTTGTTGATCTTGTTTATCATATCATTTTTTAATATAGAGATATAGACCTAAAAATACAAAACGGAAAATTGAAAATTTGCTAGTCTTTCACCCCTATCCGCTTAGGCAGTCTCAACATTAACTGTGTTGTGAATTTGAATTTAAAATATCCAAGATGTTTAAACGGCGTAGTTTGAATTAACAGACAAGACGGACGGATGTACAAACATTAATGGTTTATGGGTTCTTCTTTTTATTCATGTGCCATTTTGTCTATAAATTTGCGGTAAATATTGGACTTTCCTTTTTTATTATTTTTTATTTTAATTATATGTACTACAAAAATCACTTCAGTGTTTTTATTTTATTTTTTTATTATTTCAGAAAATGGGAGCATTTTTGACTGCAGGGATCATTCACACTCAAGCGCATACAGTAGTAATAATCTATTTAAATTCTTTACTTGACTAAATTTTACTCTATGATCTGCTACGTTTTAATTGGCAATTGATTAAGGTGTTGAAAGCTGTTCATGTCCTTTTCAATGCCCGCCAATAAACTCGAATGCAACAAATCATTTTGCCATAAAACTATGTTAAATAGTAACAGAGAGGTGTTTTACAGCAGCCTGCCTCCAGATTCGTGCTTATTTTCATGAAAATGTATGTAAGAGTAAAATATTTTGAAGTCAAAAAACGTGCAGCTTTAAATAGAAAATAAAAATGAGCCACGTCACGACAAAACCAACATAGTGCGTTTGCGACCAGCATGGATCCAGACCAGCCTGCGCATCCGCGAAGTCTGATCAGGATCCATGCTGTTCGCTCTCAGTTTCTCCACTTGTAATAGAGTTGGTAAGCGAACAGCATGGATCCTGATAGTGAACGTGCAGGACATTCTAAAACGTTTTGAAAACTCAAAATTAAACATATACTTTGCTCAAATTTGATATAAGAAAATATTGATAAATGCAGTACACAATCTTTATGTAAATATAAAATGAACATGTTTTGTCTTCGCACAAATTAGATATGTTATTTTACAAATATCTACACACTATATCATAATATGAATATATAGTGTCATTCAAAGAACTAGCAGTTTCTTTTAAGAAAAGACCATTTTTACTTGACTTTTCACAGAGAATATAGCTTCCCATACATAATTGATTTATTCTTTTATTCACGTTAGACATATTCAGCAAGAATTTCACAGATTTCATTGAATTTCTGTGATTAAGATATTATACTAAAAGATACGCACATTATATCTTTATGAGGAATATGCACATTTCCACATATCAGACTGAATATTCTATGCTTTTAAGATATCCTGCCAGCTTAAGGAAAGACAATGGGATTATTTTTGTTTGGTTTTACAGTGTAGAGGTCCTATATCGACTTTGCAGCTTTACTGATCGAGGAAGACTTCGGGTGTCCATACACACGAGCGGGCACCTGAGGGGAACCACCGAGGGTCTGTTGGCTAGCTGTTGGGTTTCGAACCTACAGCGGTGAGGGGCAAGTGATTCGTTATCAGCGACACTTACCTACCGGCTATGGACGCCACTCTCTCAACAAATGAAGCGCAGAGGTCGCCGTAGGACCGTCGGATCTGACTTAATATCCCATAAAACAACCAAAATAACAACAAAACGAATAAAAGGGAAAAATCAAAAACACGCAAAGCAGTAAAGTTTATGAAAAGGATGAAACACTTAATAAAAGTACATTGTATTGTTATACATTTCAGACATTGATTCGACTTTGTTCTCCAACATTAAAAGACATGGATGCAAAAATCATGTATATTGTAAGTACTTTATTATTAATGTTTTTTGTAAGAATAAATGAATTTCATGAAACAATATCTATTGTTATACTCAATGAATTTTGCCGGAGTAATTTTTAAGTAAATGTCAACGAATACATTGAACACAAGTCCTAAACGGCCACGTGCACTAATTTCTAAACACTTGCACTAAGTTTCAGGCTTAATGTTTGACAGAATTGCAAAACAATATATGGCGATTGAAAAGCAATTATCGATAACATATAGCAAAATGTAAGGTCACAATAACCAACAAAATAAAAAGTTCTGGGTAAATTTCAACAACTTTCCAAAAATTAATAGTCACAAAATGGCATCATTTAATTCACTTCTATTTTAATACCGTGTGTACCTGCATTTTGCTGCAACTTTAGTCCCGCAAGGGCTCTTGCTGTTTTTATATATCTGGATAACCCTCCCAAACTTGATTGGCTTACATTGCCAAATCATTCAAATTGAAGGGTTGCCGACGGGCTTTGACTTTGCGCCTGAGCCAACATGACTAACATTTCCATACCATTCCCCGGATGACTTTGGCCCAGGACAACGCTCCTTTCCATGCTGATAGACCGACACAAGTCATGTTGGATTATAACCGTATCTGTGTCCTTCCTTGGCCAGCCAAACATGCGGGTTCAAATCCGGTTAAAAATGTGTTGGACTTGTTTAAGCGCAAAGTCAAACCCACTCGGCAACCCCTAAATAAATATGTGAATTCGATATAAATCTAAAAAAAATATACTGTTTGAACTCGATGTAGAATGTTTATTTATGTCTGTCTTTTTGCATGTTTTTATAGTTTTTCTCAGTTTGATTTCAGATAAAATAAAACATCATGTAATGAAACTGTCATTTAGAATTAAATGATCAAATGAAACCAATGCATAATAGGGTTACATACAACATGTAAATGACAATTTACACCATAGAATAACTAAGACAGGCGATGTATTCCAGTTAATGAATTGCTAAATACAGAAATCTTGAAAACAGAAGCAATGTAGACAACAATTTAACATTAAAATTACAGACTCGGTTTGATCGAGTCCGTTCATGAGGTATAAAGTGACAAAAGTGCAGCATCTTTTACGCCCCCTAGCACCGGCTAGAATCTAACTTATTTAGTCACCTTTTAACCCTTATCCAGCGGGAACCATACGTGATAAGCTTTAGTAAATTTTCTTTATGATATAATGGTTTACTTTTAATCAAATGATGCTTTTCTCTAAGTCGTAGGGTATTGACTCTTTATGGGAAACGGACAAAAGCCCCCCCCCCGTCCAGAAATGACAAAGCAGACAAAATACTTCCCGTGACAATGACTTTTGTCCGGGAGGGCTTTTGTCCTACACTCTCTTTTTTATTACAGTATGGCATCGTCTTGAAAACGTCGCGGAATTTTGTTCATCTGCTCATAGATGTGTAGACTGTCAACAAGATCTTATTGTGAGAGCATCACGTAACTATGATTTTTCTATTATTTATCTTTATTTAATTTTCTGAGTGTTTTTTACAAGTCTCCGAGCTGGCTTTAATTACTTTCAATATTGCATTGTTGTTATTTCATTTCTTTTAGAGAAAAAATAAGATAACCATCTGACTTGTTACAATATAAACTGCAAGTTTGTAACGTCGATTTTCATTGGATGATCATGATGTTTTAAATTATATACATACCAGACCCCTGGACTTTAAAAGCAGCATGCCACCAGATCATGCGAATTTTCCTGAAAATTTTGAAAATTTATTTGAAAGTAAAATATTGTTTGGTGAACAAAGAAAGAAAATTGACAATTGCAAACAGCATTTTCAATCCTCACAAAATTACCAAAACGAAATCAAAATACGAAAGTATAGCCCTCATTGCGTTATAACAAAGTCGGTCATTATTCGCATGATTATTATTATACATGATCATGATTAATTGAATCCTTCTACTTTCCAAAAATCTTAGTGCATTTTTTTCTCAAGCTGGATTTCCTTTAAATATTAATATTTTGGCTCATCTAGGGTCATGCAGCTTTAAAAATCAATTTTTATCATAATAAAGCAATTGTGAAGATTTTTCAAGTATAACGAGTTATTATTATTAGTGATACAGATCTTTTAACATGTTATTTGGCACAATATAAACGGCTGTAAGCTTTAATTGACCTAAGCTGTATGACAAGACTTTTTTGTTACTTGATTTTTAAAATACTGGAAACATACCGTATATTATAATACAAATGGCAATTTTCTTGTTGCTGTAATGCCATATTTAAAACGATCAGATTAACAAGTAATAATTTGCCATATGTTTTACAAATTTCAGAAGATCATGCTGATAAATTGCCATACATTTTACAAATTTCAGTAGAAGATATTGAAAACTTGCCATATATTTAATAAATTTCTGAGGAACATGTTGAAAAATTGCCATATATTTTACAAATTAAGAAGATCATATTGAAAATTTGCCATATATTTTACAAATTTCAGTAGAGCATGCTGATAAGATGCCTTACATTTTACAAATTTTAGTAGAAGATATTGAAAACTTGCTATATATTTTACAAAATTCAGTAGAACATATTAAAACTTGCCATATATTTTACTAATTTCATTGTAATATATTTATTGAATATATACCCTATCAATTTTAGGGAAATATGTTAGTTATTAACGTATCATATTAATTTCAGTACAATATCCCAGCACGAATTCTGACCCATGTGTATGTTCAAAGGGTAAGTAGATTAAGTTGATTAAAGTGTATATAGATATATATCAGCTGCCTTCAGTTAACAAAATTGTTGCTTGAAATTTTGTTTGTTTGTTTGATTGGGTTTTACGTTCTACCGACACAGTATAGGTCATATGGCGACGCTCCAGCTTTACAGGTGGAGGAGGACCTCAGGTGCCCTTCCGTGCATTATTTCAGGCACGAACGGGCACCTGAGTAGAACCACCCGACGTTCCGTAAGCTTGTTGAATAGCTTCCTCACTTGCTTGAAATTAAAAAAAAAGTTCATAAATGCATATATGAAAGAAATATGTTGATAATTTCCTTTTGATCGGATGGCGCATGCCCATTGCTTAACATTTAAAGCCTTCTTAAAATAGCTTCATTATATTTTGTTCCGAAACACTTTTGTTCTGTTTACGTACAGTTTTCATTCCATGTTACAATTCTTTTGGGAATCAACCATATTATTAGGGAGACAACAAAATTTTTATTTGATATTTAAAAAAAAATTCTACAATGTTGATTCATTCAGAGTGGTAATTTATTTGTTGATTGATTTGAAATTCATTAAATTATAATTTAAGAAAATAAGGGTTTAACTGACAAGATACGATAATTGACTTAATTATTTTAAAGAGTGATTATAATAAAGAAAATCTAATGATCTATTTTTGTAGTAGAACCGAGTACAACACCTTCAACAAGACATCCAACAACAAAAACAACAACGACACAAAGGCCACTAACAAGAGCTCCAACCACGTCTACGACCCTTGCTCCTACTATTTCACGTCGTAATTAAATAATTATATATTTATAGTTTAAAGATTTAAAGAAAAGAACCTTACAGTAAAAGCATACTTCTGTTGTAATTGATTTAAGGAGAAAGATTTATTACTTTTTTACTACCATTGCAATCATCACCTCAACTTACGCAATTACTTGAATTTTACTTTTTTAGAATTTCTTTAACCACGATCTTCTATAATTATCACTAAAAATACCACTACATCATCCGGCAACTAGCTCTATAATTTCATTATAATATTTCTCGTTTTGTAACGTCGTTTTTCATTAGAGACGTTTATATAATATGAATAATTCATTATGTTGCTCCGCACATAGTATCGGCAACTTTTATTAAAAGCTCAAGGCCTTCAGGATCACTGATAATTAATCATATCTCAAGATGTTAAATTCTTAAAAGTAGTAAGATCTGTTGCAAACATTGACTTTACGTCACGATGCGTGGTCGCATTACCCATTGTTGTATAAATAGAATAAATGAAACCGAGTTTGCAATATTCCTATCTTTTTTCCGTTTTTCCCGTGTGGCGACCTTAATGTTCAAACCCCGTCAGGGGCAAGCCATTCCTTCCTTGAGCAAGAAACTTTACACTCATTGTTTAGTACAAGTTTGTTCGGGAGTGTGTCAATAACCTTACAGCTTTCAACACGATCAAACTACAAGAACTTGTTACTTGATTTTTAAAAACTACTGGAAACATACCGTATATTATAATACAAATGGCAATTTTCTTGTTGCTGTAATGCCATATTTAAAACGATCAGATTAACAAGTAATAATTTGCCATATGTTTTACAAATTTCAGAAGATCATGCTGATAAATTGCCATACATTTTACAAATTTCAGTAGAAGATATTGAAAACTTGCCATATATTTAATAAATTTCTGAGGAACATGTTGAAAAATTGCCATATATTTTACAAATTAAGAAGATCATATTGAAAATTTGCCATATATTTTTACAAATTTCAGTAGAGCATGCTGATAAGATGCCTTACATTTTACAAATTTTAGTAGAAGATATTGAAAACTTGCTATATATTTTACAAAATTCAGTAGAACATATTAAAACTTGCCATATATTTTACTAATTTCATTGTAACATATTTATTGAATATATACCATATCAATTTTAGTGAAATATGTTAGTTATTAACGTATCATATTAATTTCAGTACAATATCCCAGCACGAATTCTGACCCATGTGTATGTTCAAAGGGTAAGTAGATTAAGTTGATTAAAGTGTATATAGATATATATCAGCTGCCTTCAGTTAACAAAATTGTTGCTTGAAATTTTGTTTGTTTGTTTGATTGGGTTTTACGTTCTACCGACACAGTATAGGTCATATGGCGACGCTCCAGCTTTACAGGTGGAGGAGGACCTCAGGTGCCCTTCCGTGCATTATTTTCAGGCACGAACGGGCACCTGAGTAGAACCACCCGACGTTCCGTAAGCTTGTTGAATAGCTTCCTCACTTGCTTGAAATTAAAAAAAAAGTTCATAAATGCATATATGAAAGAAATATGTTGATAATTTCCTTTTGATCGGATGGCGCATGCCCATTGCTTAACATTTAAGCCTTCTTAAAATAGCTTCATTATATTTTGTTCCGAAACACTTTTGTTCTGTTTACGTACAGTTTTCATTCCATGTTACAATTCTTTTTGGGAATCAACCATATTATTAGGGAGACAACAAAATTTTTATTTGATATTTAAAAAAAAATTCTACAATGTTGATTCATTCAGAGTGGTAATTTATTTGTTGATTGATTTGAAATTCATTAAATTATAATTTAAGAAAATAAGGGTTAAACTGACAAGATACGATAATTGACTTAATTATTTTAAAGAGTGATTATAATAAAGAAAATTTAATGATCTATTTTTGTAGTAGAACCGAGTACAACACCTTCAACAAGACACCCAACAACAAAAACAACAACGACACAAAGGCCACTAACAAGAGCTCCAACCACGTCTACGACCCTTGCTCCTACTATTTCACGTCGTAATTAAATAATTATATATTTATAGTTTAAAGATTTAAAGAAAAGAACCTTACAGTAAAAGCATACTTCTGTTGGAATTGATTTAAGGAGAAAGATTTATTACTTTTTTACTACCATTGCAATCATCACCTCAACTTACGCACTTACTTGAATTTTACTTTTTTAGAATTTCTTTAACCACGATCTTCTATAATTATCACTAAAAATACCACTACATCATCCGGCAACTAGCTCTATAATTTCATTATAATATTTCTCGTTTTGTAACGTCGTTTTTCATTAGAGACGTTTATATAATATGAATAATTCATCATGTTGCTCCGCACATAGTATCGGCAACTTTTATTAAAAGCTCAAGGCCTTCAGGATCACTGATAATTAGCCACATCTCAAGATGTTAAATTCTTAAAAGTAGTAAGATCTGTTGCAAACATTGACTTTTGCTTTAGCTATTGTTACGATGCGTGGACGGTACTTCGCATTACTTATTGTCGTATGAATAGAATAAATTCCTATCTTGTTTCTGTTTTGCCCTGTGTGGCGAACTTAATGTCCAAACCCCGACAGGGCAAGCTCTTCTTTCCTTGAGCAAGAAATTTTACACTCACTGTTTAGCACTAGTTGGTTCGAGAGTGTATCAATAACCTTATAACTTTCAACACGATCAAATTAAAAGAAATAAGTATGAACTAAACTAATAGTATTTTCTTCACTTTTTAACAAGAGATTGTTTGGCAGATTAATCAAATGTACTCGTAATTGATCATGTTGGTTGAATATTTTATAGATTTTGTATGTGACAAACGTTCCGTTGTTGAGTTTATTGCCTTAGAACAACACACGGCACATCCAAAGGCAAGCCCCTGTGATCCAAGTAGTGGCGGAAGTGACGATGCATATGTTCTTGCCTCGTGCAATGCTACGTCACCGATAACCTGGAGAAGAGGGCAAAACGTAAAACAATTTTCAGTGTTGTATTATGATATCAAATTGTTGTATTTTTTTTGTATTTTTTTGTTTTCGTTACGTCAATTTAATATAAACAATATAAACAACAACACCCCCGAAAAAACAACCTCAAACATCAACAGCAAATTAGCAACAATACCCACAACAAGAACAATAACAAAAAAACAACAACAACACTACAAGTTGCGTTCAATCAATGTTAAACGAATATTACATATTACAAAACCGTGAATGACTGAAACAAACATATTCGAACATATTTTTTCTCCCTCAATAAAGCCAGTTATCCACATAAATAAAGCTTAATAAAGGTACATTAAGCCTAACAAAATTAATAAATATTTCGTTCTGTAAAAAAGAGATAATTTTTGTTGTTATAATGTTGTCATAATCGATTAGGAACATGTGAGATGCTTATTATATGAAGAAAACAGCACTGAATATGAAGTGATTTGTAATTAATGTAAGCAAAGTGCTATTTTTACTTTAATAGAAAACACTTTAACCTTACTTATTGCTAAGATGCAAAAGATGGCTCAGCTACGCGGTCAATGAGAAATGTTTTGGAAACTGCAGCACACCAAAAGTGAAAAGGTTTTAAAAAATAAAAGCGATACCTTGTTTTTGCTAAATATGCCTTTAACTTTCTAATCAACAGTTTTGTTTTATATTTTAGGTAATGGCTGACTGTGAATCCCACACACATTTGATTCCAGGATTTACTCCAATATCGACATTTGCACAGGTCAACTATGACGCCTTAGGTTCACAATCAGGTGTATTCCTTGAATGTTTCAACAGCGGATTTAAGGTATAAAACAATGAGGGGAACTCTTTATTATTTCAATAAAATAAACAAACAAATGCCCGTCTTGCATCTATGTAAGCTTTTTAAAATTTTCATTTTAGGCATTTAGTCTTCAGTGGAGCTCATATAAGAAAGAAATAATATCAGAATCTCAAGAAATGAATTTGGTTATGACAAAAAACATAAAACTAAAACAATGAGGCTCTGTCAACAATCGCCCATTTATTTCTATAATTGTTTTATAATAAGTTTTATTTTGTTTTTAACTATTTCGTCAGTCTTTATTTGGTATTTCAGATGGCGGTACAAAAATGTAATGGTGTACCAGAAATAGTGCACGTTGAACATGGAGCATTTATAAATAATCCAAGAAATTATTATGCTATTGTTACAAATTGATATTTGATTATTTATCCCGTTATAACAGTTTTCTTTTCTTTTGTTAAACTTAAAGGATTTTACGTTAAAATATAAAACATTCAATATCAGTGTTATGTTGATTTTTTTGTTGTTGTTGTTGTTGTTATTATTGGTAATTATTCTTCACACAAACGTTTTAAAGAAGCCTTCATCTTTTATTTTCTGTTAGAAAAACAATTCTGTGTTTCAGAATTTTAAATTGGAAAAGTGCATCATATTACTGTAAAGCTTTCTTCAAGACTAGTCTATTACGCGTAAAGCGACGCTCGTTTCTATCAACAGAAGAGTAGGAGACGGTTTTACTTATTAAAATATAGAGATAGGAAGATTGGGGGAGGGGGCAATTGTTCATATATTTTATCGTCGGCTAATTTCATTTCCATCTTAATTTTTTGATTTGACAATTATATGAAACAATTAAACAAAAGAGAACACAAAACATATTTTACCTGAAGGCAGCTTTAAGGGAAGTATTTCTCGAGAGACTTGCATTAATACAACACTATAATAACAGTAAAGGTACAGAAGATTTTTTTGTTTCTATACAATTGAACTTTGCCATAATGCAGTTGAGTCTAGAGAATTTGGTGGTCAAGGTCATATTTCTGCCTGTCATGTGCAGATGCGTCTAATGTTCAGATACACATGCCACAGTTCAATAATTTATTTAAAAAAGTATTTGTACTCGAAATATTTTAGGTATTTACTGTATTACACAGATGTATCAAACTTTGAAATAGAGTTAAAGTAGATTTTTTCAATAAATCATTATCTATTTCTGCAAACATAAAAAAAAACATATAAGATCTAAAATCATCAATATATACATGGCGTGAATCATAATGCTCAAATTATTTAATTTATAATAAATACCACTGCAAAGCTAATATCTCTTTTGCTAGAGGTCATGACCTCAAAACATTTCATAAATTTCTCTGAAAAGCAAACAATTCTCTTGCTTAAGGTTATGATCTCTTGGGACAGGGCCAATTTTGACCACAAAACTATAAGTTGAACGAGGGGACATTTGCCCAAAAGCGCTCACCTGAGAAAGAGAGCTAATGTTTCGAAATCATTGAACGCTTGCGTTATTACAAGAATTGGAACAATGTTGGTCACTAGACTGTAATTAATGCAAAATATATTTGTAAGTATTATATATACATTGTCCATATTTCATAGCTGTACATCAAAAACAAGAAAATAGGTTATTAAGTCAATATCTAGGTCATTCGATATCAAATTACAGTTATGCATTTGAAATTGTGCACAAAATAAAAATGTCAAATAAAAAAGTCAACGGAGGTTTCTTCATCATAATTTTGTTCAGCTATTACCAAAGTCAATCCCTGCACGTGGTCCAAATTTCAAAGCTGTACATCAAAGGATAAGAAATTTGGTCACATCATCAGAAGATAGGTTAGCTGATATCAAAGTTCAATTGGCTGTACATCAAGGGATAAGACAGTTTGACCCAAAGGTGTTATTAAAACAATCTTGGTACAGGTCCACCAGACAATGTTTCATGTCGAACATCTAAGCTCTAGATTTTTATGTATAGTAAGAAAACGTTCAAAAAAGCAGTTGAACAATAAACATACCTTTTTGTACAATAGATGCACAGATAATATATTATGTGCTTATTAGAGTTTTAAAATTTTGTGAAACTTATACTCGAGTTCTGTTAAATAATAATAATAAAAAACTTTTGAATTAATCTGTTTATACTGTATTTCGATTTTGCACACTAACTGTTACATTATCGCCGCTGTAATACCACAACTTTTAAGTCCCTGAACCTAAAAATATGGTCTAATATATGACAAACCTGATGTTCAAATGAAGAATTATCATAATAAAAAATGTAAAAAGGCAAATCTTAATAAGATATGACCGATACTAACAGTTTATGTAAATAAAGTGAAGTAATTTGAAATATATTTTTGATGAAATCTTGTTCAGATTTTCAATGATAAAATATAGGCACCTGAATGTATATTTTTTAAAACTGATTTATAATGTATAAAAAAAATTGTAAATATATAAATGTTACACATTCTTTGATGTTTAAAAATTGTTTTGGTACATAATTTCAGTTCGCTGTATGTAGCATCCTTAATTAATTTCAACATACAGGATCTTAAATATGATAATGATTGATTTACCTTTACAAATCTACCAAGTTTAACGAATGGCATAAATCTTACGGGCATGATACGCATATGATACAGTAGTGTTCATCCGTGCTGTTCTTCAAAAAATAGAAAGTTCGACGGGGACGATAGAGACCGGAAAATGTACTAATTTCTGTAGAACAGCTACGGATGAATACCTGTACTAACATCTACCTTGTATTTAGTGTCAATTTTTATTTGGCTTCATTAATATTCACTTTATAACGTCAAGACTATTTTTACGAACGCGGTTCTATGAAGCCCTATGAAAAATAGAAGGCGACTATGAACGAAATTTGATATAGTATCGACGTTTGTTTTTCTATGAAAATTAACAACAACAACAACTACTTTTATTAGCAAATATCGACAAAAGATTGCCTTTTTGGTAACATAAATATTTTCTTAAGAAATACAGCGTTTTCATTGGATGAAAAACTAAAAAAAAGAAAGTTACTAAAATTATAAAAGACACGGTGATAATAGAACAGTGAAGAGAAGAGATAGTTAATGAAACAGAATGAACCTGAATGAACCACATTTTTAATTTAGGACATCTTTACATAATGAATTAAAAATATTGTTAGATAACTTTCAGATCTAAACCATGTGCCCTAGTTTGCTATTTTATTTGATCCTTATCTAGATAGACGTCATTATTAAGGGCAAGGAGTCGGATTATTTAGATCTTTTTAGTCAGGCCAATATGTATTTGTCTGGTGAGTCTTTTTCTTCAATTCTTTTTTCATCTCGAATAATCAAATCCGATTATAGGACGTTATAATACACTTATAAATAAAATATTGATGAAATAAAATGCGTATTTTTATTTTCTGTATTTTCACTGTATCAATTTATTTTTCACAGCAGTGAAATAACATATTTTACGTTCCTTTACTGGTGTCTTGCCGGACTGATTTCTTTATAATTCAGCCAAAACACATAATTTAAATCTGTTATGTCAAAAAATGGAAAACTGAATATAATAAACAGAAAATTCATTTTTTTTCTACACGCGCGACCAATTTATTTTTGTAAATACGTACTTACAAATTTTAACCGGCTTAGTGTTTTAAATTATTTTATAAACAGTCGATTTACTAGACTGATTAACAGTTTGCCGATTTACCTAAGTAAATGTGTTACGATTCATTTGAAATACTGCAATCCTTTTGAACGAAAATTAATTTCAATTTTACGATTCATTTGAAAAACTGCAATCCTTTTGAACGAAAAATAATTTCAATTTTACGATTCATTTGAAAAACTGCAATCCTTTTGAACGAAAAATAATTTCAATTTTACGATTCATTTGAAAAACTGCAATCCTTTTGGACGAAAAATAATTTCAAACACTAGCTGTTTTAAATCGCTATTGTCGAGATGATGTATATATAAATATATATCTACTGGTTGAATTATAGACATATTAAACTGAAGGACTTTCAAAACGCATGCTTTGTATAAGACCATTCTCACAACGTGTTTTTCGATATTTTATTTTACTAGTTTCAGTTGTTAATTTTATGCTTTATAAAGTTGATAATATAATGTATGTTAGATGTAATTCTTTGTTTTTCTGTGAAAGACATTATACCGTACTACACGCGTTTGTTTTAAGGCCATTTAGCATACATGCAATTATGTCTTAATTCTGAATGAAAAATTATATATGGAGAAAGTTATTTAAAAAAAATATTGTATTGTTATCAACAGCATGTGTTGCAGTGTTTCTTGGGAGTGTATTTGAACTGCCACTCGGTAAGTGAATAAAATATATTTGTATTTTAACACATTGACAATCTTAACAAAATCACTTGGATTTAAGCAACTTATATTGAAAGGCGAAACCATTCTATGTAATAAATTCGATTGTGCTAGGCTTCACATGTACTCAATAAATTATATTGCAAAAAAGTCAAAGTAATTCTTCACTTTGATCATATTATAACGTCATGTGCAATATGATGAATTACAAAGTTAACACGGAGGAAGGAACGCAGTGTTTCTTTTGGTAGCATATTATGTCGAACAGCCAGAAGAAGTCATGGCTACTTTCCAGCTTTACTGGTAAAGGAAGACCTCAGGTGACCCTTTGTACATTAATATCAGGCACACGCCGGCCCCGACGTTCTGTACACTAGCTTGTTAGTTTCCTTGCATGAAAGAATCTTAAGTCCCTGGCGAGATTCGAACACACAGCGACAAGAGGACAATGTCTAGTTATACAAGTACATGTGCACCGGAAAAGGCCTCTAGATGTACAAATCAAAATTAAATTAAAACCGGAACAAACTTTAGAGAACAATATTCAAATCGTTACATGTTTTATCTTTTACGTTAGTATTGTCATTTACATCATGTTATTTAAGAAATAATATATCCTAAACTGTGATTTTATCGCTCAATAACATCACTGTTTGGAGTTCGGATGCGAGGAATTATCTCACGAGGGCGTAGCCTGAGGAATATAATGATGCGAATCCGAACGACAAACTGATGTTATCCAGCGATAAAATCACCGATTTGGATATATGATTTCGATTCTAACACGACATAAATAAATAAATGCTGCCGTACCTGCTATTAAGCAAAATTGCGCCTGATTTGTTTCCGTACATATTGTCAGCGCGTCGGATTTTATAGTGGTTACGTCACATGTATAATGATTACGTCACATGTCTAAATATAGAACGTCAAACAGTGACTCTATTGCATATTCTAACACGACCCGCATTTTTCCCTATTGAACATAGAAGAACAGAAAGTGTGTGCTATTTAAGAAATAATATATCCCAAACTGTGATTTTATTGCTCAATAACATCACTGTTTGGAGTTCGGATGCGGGGAATTATATCACGAGGGCGTAGCCCGAGTGATATAATGATGCGCACCCGAACGACAAACAGTGATGTTATCAAGCAATAAAATCACCGATTTGGATATATTATTTCGATTCTAACACGACATCAACAAATAAATGCTGCCGTTGATTATAATTAGCTTAATTGCGCCTGATTTGTTTCCGTACTTATTTGTCAGCGCGTCGGATTAATAGTGGTTACGTCACGTGTCTAAATATAGAACGTCAAACAGTGATTTTATAGCATAATAACACACACTTTCGGTTCTTCTATGTTCAATAGGGAAAAATGCGGGTCGTGTTAGAATATGCAATAGATGCACAGTTTGACGTTCTATATTTAGACATGTGACGTTATCATTATACACGTGATGTAACCACTATTAATCCGACGCGCTGAAAATAAGTACGGAAACAAATCAGGCGCAATTTTGCTTAACTATCAAGTACGGCAACATTTATTTGTTGATGTCGTGTTAGAATAGAAATTATATATCCAAATCAGTGATTTTATCGCTTGATAAGATAACTGTTTGTCGTTCGGATGCGCATCATTATATCACTCGGGCTACGCCCTCGTGATATAATTCCTCGCATCCGAACTCCAAACAGTAATGTTATTGAGCAATAAAATCACTGTTTGGGATATATTATTTCTTAAATACCACACACTTTCGGTTCTTCTATGTTCAATAGGGAAAAATGCGGGTCGTGTTAGAATACAATATAATTATGTTGCTATACATGTTTATTACATACCCATGACGATTTTGCGTCTCCGTAAAAATAGCATTGCACGACACATAGCGATATGTGCCTGCACTTAATTATTATGAAAAATGCAATATGGAATAGTTAACACATAGACTGAAGTTTTTAAACTTACACTCATTCAATATCCTCTTTATATTCAGATTTTGTATTGCTTCTATGGTATTCACTTTTTGTTTATCGTAACTTATTGGGACTACATAAATAAAGGTTATGTTTTCTTTGAATGTTTTTTTTTTCAATTAAAGCTGTATGTATTTTATTTCAGCTTCTGCCTTCCTGATCGATTTCTACAGCATAGGTAAGCCTATACCAAAGTCTGATATAAGAAAAAAAATGTCAAAATATTTGGTGCTAATATACATTTTATCTTGAAAATATTAAGCAAACTAAGTTGTAAGGTAATTGAATACCTCTTTTGTTTTCAGTTTACATGAGGTGCGGACTCAAACCCCACCGAGGACAAACTTTTTTGTACCTTTTTTCTTTTTGTTTAGCCAGATTGTGGATTAAACGGGTTTTTTTTAAGGAACACTACGCCTCAGAAATGAATACATTTTTCAATCATAAGAATGGTCAAAAATAAGATTTATATCGTTTACATATGTTAAATGTTTATCATCCGAGGAATATAAGTGCTGAATGTGATTTTGTTTTGTCATAAAAGTAGCAAAATGTAAACACATTATTATTATTTTGACTTTATGTCACTTTAACAATATTAATTATTAAGAAGCAGCAAGGGATAAAAAATATGGTTCGGGTAATTAGCCAACGAGTAACTTTTTGAAACTATAATGGGGCATAAATAAATAAATGTATAAATAAATAAATAGATAAATAAAAGCGTTTGTGAATTAAAAAATATAAGCATTTCGGGGGGGGGGAGGGGTTAATAGGCCTTTAATTAAGAAGTATTTGCAGTTTTACATATACCTCTTAGTTTGAATTTGGTAAAAAAAGTAGTTTTGCAGATTAAAATGATTATATTTCCAAATCCAGATAGTTCATCGCCTTCATCTTTTACAAATATACAACTAGATAATTGTAATCGAAGATGTAACGATGTCACATTTATAAATGACAAATCTGATGGACTTTCTAAACCCACACTTATTTCATTTCCAGAAAAATAACAGATAACTATTTAAATTAACCATATTTGTTTTTTTTCATACTAGTATTTACATTTCTTTGGGGGTTGGTTTTGTTTGTTATAAGTCCAAACTATGGGTCTTATTTGAGCACTTTTATTGTTGGATAAAAATATATATTTCATTTTTAACTAATGAAATATCTGTTGTTATTGTTTTGTATAACTAAATTTATACACAAGTTCAACTTAAATTGTCAATATTTGACAAGACAGTACAATTTTGTTATGTTTTTTGTGTGTAAAGAATATAATAAAAAAGTTTTATATGAATTTTGAAACATTGTCAATTACATATAATACTGGTTAATTAAGTTATATTATGTACTAGTTATCAATGAGTCGGAGGTATGACTATCAAATCCGAGGTCCCATGTATCGGTCCTCTACACCGGGAATGCAAAAGAACCAAGCTATTCTCTGTGATAAAAAACTAAAGATAATGAAATTATTTTTGATTTTTTTTTCCAGCGCCAACTCACAGTAGTCATAGCAGTCATCACTGTTTGTCCTACAGCAGTTACAATGGTAAAATAAATTTAAGAGTTCTATACGGTAGCTTTATGAATATAAGTATTTATAAGCATTTAAAAAACAAAACAACAACAACAAGGACAGATATACGAACACTGGTTCCTGAGAAAGACTCCTGTCTGAAAAATAGGACTATAAATTCATACACATCGGTTTCGAGATTAGTAAATAATGATAAATAGCCTATACAAACTTGTACCCCGACAAAAACAAAGACGCCAAACTCCTCACAATCATTTGATTGGCTTACGTCTGTGTAGCGAAGCGAAGGGAGACAACTGCGTCGGAGTTTGTGAAGACGCAATAATAAATTCTCAATTTTGATTGGGTTAGGATAGAGATAGTAAAATCTTTTTAAATGTATATGTTGCATATCAGCAACAATAAGGTTTTTTTTCTTGTGGTGGTAGTACTAGAGGGTTTCAGTAACGGTTTCGAGTGTGTGTTTATAAGCTAGATCTAATAGCCGTATAAACTATAATGTAATAAACTTACAGAGTTTTTGCCGGAGTCGGCTTTAAGAAATATCACATGATATTTAGGTCGATATCTTGCGAGTTTTAAAGTAAAGTAAAGTAAAGTAAAATAAATAAATTAAATAAATAAATAAATAAATAAATAAATAAATACATAGCTAGTTTGTAATATTAAATAAAACTGTTACTTAAATTGCTTCCCAGGAATCCCTTTTCCCAGATATTTATATATTACTTACTACTACACAACTTAGTCAACCATGTTTTGGAAAAGAAAATTAAAATAAAAGACTTGTTTAAAAATCTCGGCTATCGCCTCGGCCAATATGACATTTACCGGTGAATAGTATGCTTGCCAATGGCTAACATAAAAACTTAAATTTTCATTTAGTTCAATAAATTCAGTTTTTTAACTATACTTATTCAATATCCTTTATCGATTACATGACACTGATTTGTTATTTATTTTCAGAACTTTTAAATCTAATACATGACGACAACTGTATGAATGTGGATTTGGGTAATGTTATTTGATTAATAGATTATCTTTTTGGAAACTATATGTTTTTTGTTTTAATTCTAAATATATAACATGATGTTTGACTAAAGAAACAATAACTATGGAATATTGTATCAGTGTTTCTTGAAATCATTTTGAATAAATAGCCGGTCACTTGTAAAGGAACTCGTAACTTTTGGTCAGAAAGCCGGTTATGTGGATCGATGTTTGAAGTATGACCAAATAAAAATTATCAAATTATGAAATTACACATACATTTTCAGTGTTTCAGCACCTAGAGGATTTGAACAATCAGGTCGGCGTTTACTGCAGGATGAAAGTGATTAATGCTCTTTCAGGTAATTATATGATTAAACTCTTTTCGTTAGTCCGTAAAAAACTGCCAAGTCATTCTAGGAACTTAGTTCATTCATGGAGCGCGGAAAGAATGACGTCATTTTAAGACTCGACATGTCGGCATGTTTTACATGTGGATGTAATACACCTTTTTCTAGCATAAGTTTATAATCCTGTCTGACATGCAAAATTATAAGGATCTAACATCGGCTGCCGGTACAGACTGGAATATCTAGTAAAACGGTTTAGCTCTGCCGAGTGTCCGCTGTACAGTTAACCAAGAGCTAGATATTCCTCTCAGTTGCGACAGTCAGTGATTGGTTCTTATTTGTATATTACAAATTAATGATATTTCAAAAACTTTTATTTTATTTCGCACTTTTTCTTAATGTAGTTCATCCATAACGGCACAATGACGGTATTTTTAGAACGCATTTCATTAAAAAAGGAGCATGGGAATTAAATCATTTAAACGCGATTTATCTTACAAGGGGGAGGGTTTTAAGACAGGTTTTTCTAGCAAAAGTGTAAAGAGTAAGTATATGCAAGGAAGTACCTTTCTTCAAATTTTTACATAACCTTGTATATTAAAGCCCGAACAAAAAAGCCAATAATTTCTTTTCTTCCAAGTTTCTATACTTTTTGGTGTCCTTCTAAAGGTTAAAAAAGAGTAAGAAAATTTGCCAAAAAAAATTTGGTCAAGCATAGGCCTGTTTACAGGTTGTTTCCGTATGCCAAATAATTACACTCACAGAGCATCTCTATCCAGGGAATGAGCATCTTACATTAATTAAAGCATTTTAGATAACATTATTTTCTTTTTTTATAAAAAATACATATTTATTCGTTTCTGAGGTATTATGTTCTTTAGATAATTATTTTTTATTTAGACCACTTTGGATCACATCCTTACATACCTCAGAAATGTAGTTGTACCGGCCACTACAGACTGCAGATATATCACATTGGATCTGGAGACGGTATGGGCTTTTATAGCTGTAATATATTATACCACTCGATTTAAAATTGTTCAAATAATCTAATCACAAACTTTTTCAACTGCTTGTATTCGAATGGTAGCCGAATAGTAAATAATCATAACAATACTTGTATTTACTTTTCATTCCAATACATTTTGTCGATGAACCTTAAGGTACAAGTATAATCCTTTTCTTCTTTCTTGTTATTTTTGTAATGATTATTTGATTTTTGTGCCCCCATTTTAGTGGCGGGCATTTAGATTTACCCTTTTCCGTCTGTCCGTCCTTCCGTCTGTCCGTTCTCTTTTTAGTCGCTCGTAACTTAAAAAGTATTCGACCTAGAGTCATGAAACTTAACAGGAATGTTGATCAGCATGTGCAATTGTGCACCATAGTATTTTCATTTTGATTTAATCAGTATTTTTAGAGTTATTGCCCTTGACTTAGTAAACATTTGCAATTTTCAACTTGTGTCACATGTAACTCAAAAAGGATTTGACCTAGAGTCATGAAACTTAACAGGAATGATGATCAGCATGTGAAGTTGTGTGGATTTATTCAGTATTTTTAGAGTAATTGCCCTTGGCTTAGAAAATTTTGCAATTTCCAACTTGTGTCGCATGTAACTCAAAAAGGATTTGACCTAGAGTCATGAAACTTTACAAGAATGTTGATCAGCATGTAAAGTTGTGCACCTGGTTATTTTCGTGTGGATTTATTCAGTATCTTTAGAGTTATTGTCCTTGACTTAGTAAAAATTTGCAATTTTCAACTTGTATCGCATGTAACTCAAAAAGAATTCGACCTAGAGTCATGAAACTTAACAGGAATGTTGATCAGCATGTGAGGTTGTGCACCTGGGTATTGTCGTGTGGATTTCTTTAGTGTTTTAAGAGTTATTGCCCTTGACTTAGTATTTTGCAATTTTCAACTTGTGTCGCATGTAACTCAAAATGGATTTGAACTAGAGTCATGAAACTTCATAGGAATGTTGATCAGCATGTGAAGTTGTGCACCTGGGAATTTTCGTGTGGATTTATAGATTTGCAGTTTTCAACTTGTTCATGCGTAGCTCAAAAATTATTTCATTTGTAGGCTTAAACGTTTACAAGAATGATGGTTAGCATGTGTACTTATGCATCTTGGGGTTTGCTTGTTGATTTATTTTTTATTTGTAAAGTTCTTGCCCTTTACTTAGTAAAAGATATTTAGTTTTCAAAAAATATTTGACCTAGAGTCATGAAACTTTTCAGGAATGTTGATCAGCATGTGAAGTTGTGCACCTGGGAATTTTCGTGTGGATTTATTTAGTATTTTTAGAGATATTGCCCTTGACTTAGTAAAATTTTCAAAAAATTTTTTTTTAACTGCTTAGTAATTTCTCTTCTAAAGAAATTTAGTTCCCTTATATTACATGATACTTAATGGAAATCAAGTTTTTACATTCAGTTTGATAAAACAGATGATTTTTGCAGGTGTAACTGATATCAGAGATCATTGTCTTCGGATAGACAATTCATATCGAGGTAGGTAGCCATTTATTTAGGTCACTTTACGCATTTTGACTAGAGAAATTATAAAACTTAGCCATTTATTAAGGACTTTAACTTTTCGCACTTTCCCATGAGTAATCATAAAGATATTAAGTAAAGTTGCAAACCAATGCAAATTTTGGACAAGGTATATACCGTTATATTCTGAACAAAACAAGCAAACAAACAAATAAACTTCCCCTGTATTTAAGTGAAGACACACACAAATGTGAAAATCAGGATAAAAGTAGATTTATATGTAATACATATTATGTATTGAAAGGGTATTAAATTGCGATATTTTTAGGAAAAAATTATGTTGAAGGTTTATCCAAAAGAAGTGAAATAGTAGTTAAATTGCAAAAGGCATAAGGGTTAACAAAATCACAAATTGCATCGTTAGCGCATTGAACGGATCGGCTTGTTGAATGTTGTTCCATTACTGAATTGAGGGTTGTCCTAGCTGAATGACATTTGACGGCGGAACAGGTTGTCGACGTCTACCACGCTGGCCCAACTTATCCCAAAGGTGTTCAATGGGATTAAGATCATGGCTTTTGGCAGGCCAGTCATTAATTATTGCAATGTAATTCGCACTGAAGTTCACAATGTCCCTAGCTGCATGACCTGTGGCATTATCATGTTTATATGAGTGATATTGGCCATTTTTAAAACAGTGGGATAACATGCCTCGCAATTATTTTATCTCGGTAGCGGTGGACATTCAAATTTCCTTCGATTACGACGAGATAAGTGCAACAGCCAAGTGCAATGCCTTGTCCGAGCAAGACTGAGCCCCAGATGCTTAACGATCTCGTTCAAGTACGCAGCGGTCGGCATTACGTTCATTTCTCCTACGGTATACTCGAACCCTGAATGGAAAATAAATTGGGTTCAGCTGGTTTCTCTTGCACAATGAGTTTAATAGAATTAAGATTTACTTCAAGGCAGGGATCAAAGTCTTGCGCGCGACATATCGTCATTATATGTACAACATTTTAATGCCTCGTTTTTTAATCCATCCAACAATGACAGTCTGTTGACCGGAAACAATCATCAGTGCATTTCTTATTAAAAATGTCTTTTGAAATCAGGGTGTGGTCATAAAGAACATCTATAAATGATAAAGTAATGGACCAGAAAAAATTTGGACGAATTGACGGACGCTACAAAACCTATTTGACTTCCAATTTGAGGGTAGGGATCTGAATTTAGGCTTTTTTATATATCCCAGGTATCAGTCATTCTAAAGTTCACGTTAGTCCGCCAACCTAGAACGAATTGTTAACATGTATATCAGTTGATTTAAATTTGACATAAGTCATGTTAGCTATTGAATGGTTAAATACATGAATGTGTTCGCTTCAAAATAAATGACATTTTCCTAACTAAAGTTCTTTTAGTGCCGCTCATGTTTTTTTATTTATATATATGCTAAATACTCAGAAAGGACATGTAATTCAATTTACAAATGGCAATAATTTTGGCTTTCAGATCTGTACCATCAGTTTTTCCAATCTCAGGGCTCAAATGGTAATAACATTGCATGCAGAACACATCATTCAGGTTTGCCATTTTTTACAGATTTACACGTATTTATCAAATCTATAAAATCGGTGTCTTTTGCAAAATTGGGTTTTTAATAATATATACACTATAAATTTAATATTTAAATGCTTTATGTGTTTTAATGGTTGAAGATGACAACAGTTAATTAATGCATTTACATTTTAATTAATTTGTAATACATTGCAGTCAACAGTTTTCTTTATGCTAGGCAAATAACTTTCCTCCACAGACATTTCCTTTTTGATATTCAATAAAAACAGGCCAAACATTCATAGCGATTGGTCAATTGATGTTATTTACTTGTTTACAGCTAACAAAAATATCAAACGCAATTTACAAGTACTTTTTCATAAATAGAAGGTACTTTATCAATGTGTCACATTTACAAGCTTCATTACACTGCTCGTTCAAGCCCAAATCATTATCATAAAGTTACGTAATTTTCTTTTCAAATAGGAAGGTCATGTGCTGTTTTCGTTTCATTTTAAGATCTAGCCAAAGTTTTGCCTCATTACTGAGTTTTGAAAATATGATCTTTGCCAACAAAAATGAGATTTCGCTCGCCTTGCCCGATTGGAGCGAAAGTTCAAACAAAACAATTAACTTTTTTAATGCAAATATAAAAACATTGTATGTACAGTATGGATATATAAACATACAACTTTTATAAAATATAGTTCATACAGCTATAAAAGTATTCCAGTAGAAAATAGAACATATCCATAAAAGAAAAGTAAGCAATTTTATATACTACACTTATTCATCTGCACTCTCTCACTGTAATATGTGCTTTAAATTATCTCTAACGTCATTTTAAGCTGGATAAAAATATACGAGGAATGTTCGAAATGTATTGCTTTATTCTATGTGGAGACTTCAAATTTCAAAGTAGCTCAAAAGTGTTCGTTTCATGCACTCGAAGTACTCCCCGTACCTAGAAATGCAAAGTTTTAGCCGATGTATCCGCTTCTTGAAGGCGTCACGGTACGCTGATTTGGTCACAGTAATAAGGTACTGATGAATGGCAGATCCAAGTGCCTGTCGGGACTTGTATTTCCGCCCAGCAAGGAAGGATTTCATTTTTTCGGAAACAAAAGAAATCAGATGGGGCAAAGTCTGGAGAATCAGGGGGGGGGGGGGGGGGGGGGTGAGGCAAAACAGTTACTTTTTCTTTTTCAAAAAGGCCGAAACTATTACGAAGGTATGAGTGGGGCATTGTCATGTAGAAGACGGATATGCTTAAAACCTGTGACAGGGTGTCGTTTCTTAAAATACTTTTTCAGTTTCTTAAGTACTACGTCTTTGTGGTAGAGAAAAATAGAATCCAGCGATACTTCCCAGTGATACTTTTGCCCTTTTTCACGGCACTTTTATTGTGACTCCTTCACCACAGATAAAAATTGCATAAAAAACCTTCTTTGCACTGGGCGTTTGTTATGTTTTGTGGCCTAGATTTTGTTGCTAACTTTTCTGACGGGCTCAAAATAATGGACCCAAATTTTATCACCTGTGACGACATTTGCAAACTGTTTTTGTGATATTTTGGAAACAATTGAAGCAGCCTTTTGGCCACTTTAAACCGTTGCCTCTTCTGCTCATCGGTGAACAGATGTGGCACCCATCTAGAAGAAATCTTTCTGACTTTCAAATGCTTCTTCAAAATAAAGTGAACCGTTAATAGTGATATGTCTACCTTTCGTGCAATATCACGAACTGTAAATCTGGCATTTTCTACAAGGATATCCTTTATTTTGGAAACGATTTCGTTACGAGATGCAGATTTTGGCCTACCTGATTTTGGTGCATTTTTGATGCACTCTACATCAGACTCAAATTTCTTTTTCCATTGCCTAACCCTGTCATAAGACACACAAGAAGGCCCATAAGCAGTACAGAGTCATCAACTGCTTCAAAGAGCAACCCAGTTTTGAGCGAGTTTTGATTTCATCTTTTTGGTCGACGCTTCTACCAACCATTTTTACTACAGTGGTCAATGACTGCGTGTATTTGATTGGCAAATTGTATGTCTTACACTAAGTCTAAGCACTTCTTTTCTAACAACCCTCGTTATAACTTGACGTGTTGATGTTGGATAGGTAAATACAGACTAAAAGTTTAAGTCTGCATATATGGAGAGAATAACAATTAAAATAATAAGAAGAAGAATACGAATTAGTATGGGAAAACACAAAATATTGTGTTAATCTGCATTAAGGAAAATTAGATGAAATAAAGGTTCTACGTTGTTATTTATTATTGCAGTCTTTTTCTCACTGTTGTAACAATTTGTTATATATTTTAGCTCTAACAACTGAAGGGAAACTCTTTTGCATTTTACATTGATAGATATACATCTTAAAGTTAATAAGGATAAAATTTTAGAATTTGATAAAGGACTTCCATGTGTAAAGTAAAAAATCACTTCGTCTGCTGTTTATGATGGCAAAATATTCTTTTTTGTTTTGAAATATAATATAAATGTTCGATAGTTTCGTTTTCATTTTTTCAAAAGGTACAAAGAGGATTATTAATAGTTAGTGCCAATTATTCTATGAAGAATCCTAATTTGAATTTGAAACCACTGTATCCTAGAATATTTTGTTATTTTAAATGGCATTTTGTAAATTGTTTTCCATTGGCTTTTTTTCAAAATATAGATCAAGCTTTTGCATCCAGGTTACTTTACTTGTTGATTGTGTGTTATAAATATTCAATAAATTGTAAGTCTGTTTTGATCCATCATTGTTTATACTGTTGTTTTTTTTTAAATAAGGAGGCAATTTTGGTCCAGTCATTCATATTACATTCATGAGGGATAAAACGTTTGCATTAAACATGAATATGTTATTAAAATCTTCTAATGAAAAAAGCACCGTAAGAATCAAACATATCTCTGATATGATATACACCAGCTTTAAACCATGAATTAAGAAAATATACTTTTATTGCCAATTAGCAAATTATTGTTATAAAACAATGGTAGTTCTGCGAAGGATTCGTTATTTATAGGATACTTATCTATATATGTAGATAAAGCATTAAAAATGTTTTTCCAAAACACGTTTGAATTTTGCATTTTATCTTTGTAATGTTTTCCACAGTGAAATAATTTTGCATATCAAATTCATTTACAACAATGGTTTTTCCAACAGGCATTGCTATTAATTCTTTTTAACCAGTTTATTTTTAATGCCATTATAAAAACATTTAAATTAAACATTTTTAAACCTCCATCTGAATAGTCTTTGGCCATAAGAGTATTTTTTATTTTAGCATTCCTTGCCATATAAAATCATTAAACACATTATTAAGTTTTATTTAACATGTTCTGAGGTGGTGAAGTTAGAGCTATTAAAAATTGGTTTTAAATTGAAATTAAAAGCGTCTTATGACTACGATTTTTCCAGTTGAAATGAAAATTTCCTTTTCCAATGATTTATTACACTTTGAATGTTAATTTATCTTCATGGTTTACAAGTATCATTTGCTTAAATTTACATCAAAAGTAATGCCCAGCATTTCAAAATGATGTTGGTTCCATGATAATTTCCATCGCGTTTTTATACTATTTGATGAGTATTTATTTTTTCCTATCCAAATTACTTTTTTTTATCAAAGTTTACATTTAGTCCCGATAGATGAGCACATTTTGATAACACATCGAGTGCCTGATTTAAGGAATTGCTTGACCCGTCCAGTTTTAAAGTTGTATCATCCGAGGATTGAGAGAACTTATGTTCTAGATTATTTATCTTTATACCTATAATTTCGTTACAATTTCGTATCTTATGAGAAAGAATTTCAGCACATAAAATAAAAATGTAACAAGAAAGCGGGTCACCCTGTCTGCAAACTCTTCCTATTGTTTCAAAATTTGACAGGACACCCACATTGACTAACAGCAGACTGTGAGTCTTTATAAAAAATATCAAACCATCGTTTAATAGAAATTCCAAAATTAAAACAAGACAACGTTTTTTGAACAAAGACAAAGAATCAAAAGTTTCAAAATCAATTTAAAAAGAAGACCAAGGATATCTTTTTCTTCAGTATAATGCCTAATGTCGTATAAAAAGCTTCGAATTTTCTCCAATATATCTATCCTTAATAAATCCGGTTTTATTCTTTGTTTATTAATTTGCTCAAAGTTTTTTTTATTCTATATGACTCCAGAAGCAAATTTTATGAACTGTATTTCCTAGAATTATGGGTCTACAATTTTTCAAATATTGTTTTGGTTTATTGTCTTTAGGAATACATGTTATTATTCCATGTGTTTGAGTTATGGAATGTTTGCCTAATTCATATGCGTTATTAATAGCCCTAAATGCAAAATCTCCTTTTTTCCAAAAGACTTTGTAAAAATCTGCACTGAAACCAGAAGATCCTGGACTTTTATAGTTTTTCGTGTTGTGTAAAACAAAAGCTGTTTCATTGTAGTTTATTTGACCTTCTAAAGCAGTTGATTCTTTTGGAGTTAATACAGGTGCTTCTATGTTTGAAATAAAATTAACGAAAACATCGTCGTTTTCATTGTGTATGTTCGCCATAAATAGTTTTTGATGATATTTTTCAAATTCTTCGAGAATTGCTGTTTGTTCTTTAACAATTGTTCTGTCATCCTTTTGAATTTTATGAATAGTTTTAGAAGTGTATTTTTTTCTCTACGCTGTAAAAGTACTGTGACGGCTTTTCATCTTCAAGAATCCACTTAACTCTAGAACGAATACGATAGCCCTGCTATTGTGTATCAATTAAGTTATGAAGCTCTGTTTGAAGGTCTCCAAGGTGCGTCATTTTATCTTCAGTTAAATCGGCTTTTAAATAATTTATTTCATTCAAGATATTTTTATTGTTCAAATTAGTTTCCTTCTTTACATTACTACTATATGATATAAATTTCCCCGCAGTTCGATTGATTTAAAAGAGTTTCTAAAAACAATTGATCATTTATTGTAAACTGAATTTCATTATTTGGAATTTCAGAAATTTTGTTGGCATTATGAACTGGAAATGCATATTGTATTTTTTTCGTCAATGTTTTCGTTTGTAATATTTAAATAGCTAATGTCCTTTAATAATGAATTATTGTGTTTCCTCAGGCCATTACCATGTTTAAAGTAATCTAATTTATGATTCATTATTACGATGAAATGGTCCGATTGGTAGCTTGTAGTTATGAAAACATTTTCTACAAAGTGGAACAAAGTTGAAGTTATTAAGAAAGATTCTAGTCTTGCTTGCTGAAGTGGCATGCGTTTATGCCATGAATATCGTCTTAAAGTTGGTTTAAACTCTCTAAACGGGTCTTTGACCTACTGTTATTAATATTTTTCTAGTTAAAGTAGTCTTTTAATGGGTCTAACACTAAATTGTAATCACCAGATAATATAATTATATTAATCATTCCCTATCCTGTCAATTAAACTGAATATTTCATTAACAAATTTATGATTTGGGCCATATAAATTTACTAGAGTAATCTTCTGCCCTTCAATAGTTAAGTCTTATACTATAAAATTTCCAATTTGGTCAATAAATTTTTTATGGATTTTGCAATCAATGTTATTATTAAAAAGAATCGCTACCCCTCCGGAGTTACATGTTCCAGAGCTTAAAATACACTCATTATTTCACTCACAGTATATCTTTTTATACATATCTTACGTTAGCGTGTGTCTTGTAGACAATAAATGTTACACTGTTTTTGTTTTAAAAAAAAAACCGAAAACCTTTTTTTGACCCATTCAGGCTCTACATTTCAGAGATAAGACAATTATATTACTTACATCCATATTGAAGTAATTAAACAAAAATATTTAAACCAATGTTTCAAAAAGGTTTGACAATAAACCTTTTTTAACCAAGACCATTTTACTACAACTTAGAAATTGAAACATTTGTATTTCTTACACTTTTGATATATATGTGTCAATACTTAACATAATAAGAACATTTTGCAGTCTCTATATATACATTTTGAAATTAAGATAGTAATTGTTAGAAAAAAAACTTGTATATTCATGACAGAAAGAAATGTTATCTTAAAGAGATACTCAGGCAAAATAATGGCAAAAATATAAAAATGATTTTCTGTACTCAAATCACCCTAAAATGACATTTCTTAAAGTCCCAACATGAATTTCTGTATAAATTCTATATATTTTGGGTTTGAAGTTTAAATATATCTATATATGTTGAACGAAATTTTGACGCGAACAGAATCACCGAATAGTTTAAAAACAAGTCATGCGATTTGAACAAACCCTGGAAGTTACAATAACAAATATTGTGGATATTGTATGATTGAAACAAGTCTAAGTAATTGATTTGACATGTTTTTAACGTTTCCAGAGTACAGAGTGACAACTATTGTGAAATTTTAGCGCTCTAACCTGACCCACGCGGGTCAAGTTAGGAAAACACCATTTTATTCTTTATATGGAGAAAAGTTTTGTTCCTTTGACTGTTTAGTGTATTCATTTTGAGGACATTTACAGAATAATGAATGAAAATTTCAAAACTAAGAAATGAAAATTTTGCCTGTGTCTCCCTTTAAAAGCCAAAAGTAGAATAAGATTTTTTTGAAGAACTGTACTTAAAAGATTTAACAATTAAAAATAATTTAATTGTATTTATAAGGGAGGTGATATTAAAATTCCTAGGGATGTAATATTAAAAATACACTATATACACGAAAGCACAAATATATATACATTTACATACATACATCAAAATAGGTAAAATTTGTGATTGTTTTATTGTGATGACAACTTCAAATTGCAGAAAAACAACAGTTATTTATTTATCAAGGCTCAATTTCAGAATTTCAAAAGAAATGGAATATAAAGTTATATGGAAATTATCCACAGACAAATGGAGAGAGAACCAAATTTCTTTTTTCCTTACGAATGTTGCAAAGAAAAAAATATTCGAAAAAGAAACAAGATCTCTTAAAGATATTAAAAGAAAAAAAAAACATTTCAATATTCTTTTGTGTTGTTTTTTTAGGTATCCTTGCAGTCGAAAGCTTACAAGTTTACCCTAAGAACATATTTCTTAAACACAACGTTATATTGACACAAAACTAAACATTGAGAAGTATTTCAAATTTATTTATTTATGATAGAGGCAAGTCTTGTTCCAAAATGTATTTACAACAAAACACACCGTAAACACAGATATCTCCATTTATGTATTTCGTTTGTGTTTAGTGTTCATTTCTTGTTTTTCTTTTCAGGCCAGGGTAAATTAAGCCAGTAGTTGTATTCCCAAAATTTCACCTCTTTTGTTTTTAAGAAAGACCTTCTGTTTGATTCCTCTTTTAATGTAACATAGAGTATACCATCGTTGCACCAATATTTTTTCACTCGTTCCGTGTCTTTTAGACGCAGCGATGACAAAACTTGCTGATTAAACCAAGTAAGATCGTGGCTTATATAGAGCCCGGTGGATTTCAGCTTACTTACATTTTGCATAATGTCGATTTTCACCTGCCTGCGCACACATTTCACAATTACCGGTCTGATTTTTCAATTGTACTTCCCCAGGCGGTGCGCTATGTCGATATTTTCTTCCTTAATTGACACAGACAAATGCTTATTTAATAATTGTACAACTTGTGAAGTTGTCTGCTGTTAAGTTTGGCGATCTATGTCGTCCGAAACATCGAATATTCTTATATTTTTCCTGCAACTATACTGTTCCATTATGGTATGAATATTGATATGTTAAGTGTATGTGTCCTTATATCACATTCACTATAGTTGAAGAATGTCCGCGCTTTGTCCTTTGATGACTAAGTCCATGGACCATTATACACTGTCCAAGCGGTTAAATGATGCGTGACGACATTCTTTCCAGGTGTGATGAACAGGTAAATTCTTTTACCTGCAATATCCCACCCATTCATTATACACATGAAAAAGTCTATAAACGTTCAATTCAGAAAGCAAAATTCAATGTCCGTTAAGAATATATCATCTTATTGTAGAAGTCACCAGTTTTCAAATACATCCATTTCTAGATTTCTATGTCTTGATAAAAGCGGTTTATTGACGAGTTTTATTCTTACATTTTATTTGTTTACTTTCTAAAACGGAAGCGGAAGTATTTTATTTATAAATTTAACTTATCCATGAAATATGAACACATTTATCAACAAAGATAAAGAGACGTAAGGACATAGTATCCAGCAAAAAACAACAACAAAAAAACAACCGTTACACAGGTGAGCCCTTAACACTCCCAAAAGGTTAGGACTCCCAAAAGGACACCTAATATAGAAAAAAAGGCAACAAGTTAGACACAAAACAATTAGTAGAAGTGGGCAAAGGCAGGCATAAGTGGGTAAAGCGGGGGTAAGCATGAACGGTTGTTTCAATGAAATTGTATCAATAGTCGGTACATTTTATCCAGCCAAGTCTTCTGTAATTAAAACTGTTATATCTAAAAATGTATTTTTCCGGTTTAAGATTTTTATATCTCCAACATCTTACTTTCAGTTTGGAATTACCTAAGGCATATCTCGACTGCCACATATGACAACAATTCCTGTCAGAAAGATATAATATACCATCTAAGTTGTAAGTAACTACGAATTTTCTATATCTATATTACAATTCTTCTTTGAGATCATCAAGAACACCAAATAGTGTTAAGCTAGAATAATTTATTTGTTTTATAAAGAATTAAGCAGTGAAATATTTTTGAATATTTGATAGAAAAGATATTTATTTCATGACAAAACATTCAATATTGTTTCATTTATGATTAAACCAATCGTGCGTTTCTTTCCAGATGCATTTGAAAAACATCCTGACCATTGTGTATGCACCGGTGAGTTTCAACAAATGTTTCGTACATTGTATGTGTTCCACATTATAAAAGCCAAATTTGTATCTGAAATATTCTGCATAAGTTGAGGGGCATATTTGATAAGCATATATGCTTTAAAGGCACATATGACCTGTTAACAAAAACTCCCTTTTATACCCATAGCTCCCTAAGCAATATTATCAATGTTTCAGAACATACTGAAACAAATCAGATACGAGATTTTCTCTTAATCATACATTGAATGTGATTATTTCGCAAACAATTGTTTTACCGTGGACTATGACAAAGTGGTTAACAAGTCGGACTAGTAAGTTAGGGTTTGCTGGTCGCGTTGGCTCAAACCCCATTCAAGGGCAAGCCGTTGTTTACTTACACTCATTGCTAAGTGCTGGTTAGTTCAATGAGCAGATTTGAAAGTTTTTTGCTTCCAAAACAGTCAAACTAAATTGAATTTTATATAATTGTGAATTTTGCTGAAGGCGTGGACGGTAACTTGCATTTTCTAGTACCGTCCATGAACAGGCTCCATCAAAGCCGAGCCTGCAACATTTTCAATTTTCATTATACATTTTATAAAGATAATATATAAATGAACACAATTATAAAGTTATTTTGACTTTTACTTGTTCACTTTGCACTTACACTTGGATGGGCATAACGTCTCTTTAATACTTCAGCAAATTCACAGCAAACAAGTGGTCAACACACCCATGATCCACAAGGGCATACAACCGATCCATGCAGTCAGTACAGTAGTTACAATCGTAAGTCTTTCAAATGGTTTCGGCATATTCCGTCAAGTTTCAAGTCGAATGAAAAATAAAGGTGCGTCTACGTGACTCTGAGAAAAATATCACCTTGATACTTCAGAAACAAACTTTTTCCAAAAAGATTTGATATTTCAACTTATACAATGAGTACACCTTTTTCGTAAAAATGTGGCTTGCAATGGAAAACAGACACAATTTTTTCTATTCCTTTGTAATAATATTACAAAAGAATAACAGAATGGTAGGAATAAAGTGTTTTTTAATTATGAAAGACAAATTTTACACAAGTCATTAGACATTAGACAAACTACTTATCTACGTGATATAGCACTTGCATATTTCTTTTTCAGGGCTTCTTGACCTAGGGAATACGAACGACTGTTTGAGTGCGAACTCAGGTTAGAAAGATTTATTACATGATTTATTGTATATTTCCTATGTATGTCTTATCTAACAACAAAGGCCAAATCAATGTTCAACTGCATATCACATGTTCATCTGAAACAATCAATATCTCTATTCAGGTCCTATCCCATGCTTAAGGCCGCTTAAACATATATAAATTAGATTTTGATCTAATATATATTGACTAACAATTTTGTCCGAAGGTCTACAAGAAATTCAAGGTCAAACAACTATAGTTACTGACCAATTGTTCAATATTCAACTATTCTTTTTTTTAGGTATTATTTCATTTTCAAGGTCAAACAGATAAATTTCTTTATTACCACTATATTTTATGACTCTAGTCAGATACTGTTTCTCTATGCTTGCTTTTTATGGGATTTTTCTGACTTTAAATTTCTTAATTCTGTCTTATTGATACTTTTTAGACACTGACACAAATACATACACATAAATATAGTTTTATAGCGCAAAAATCACAGAAATATTTATTTGCGCTTTACACTATAACATTTAATTATTAAGTCCTGCTTGATCTTGGAATATTCGGAAAATGCATGTTTTAAGGGGTTGTTTTCCCTGACATTTAGTCTTACTCTTATTTCGTTTTTAGTCTGGCACTATCTAGATGATCTCCAAGTCAAGAGTTCTGAATGTCGAAAGAAAATTCAGCTTCATATGGCCAGTACGCATTTTATAGTGTTTTTTTTTAACATCGATGAATTCACTTATAACCTTTCATTATTTTTTAAAAATATCATTAAAACAGATGTTAATTGTAACCATCAAGCTAGTTAGTATCTATGCGTTCATCTTTTATCGGCACTTTTCAAGGGACTCCACTGAGGTTTTTATTATCACGAAAAATGTTTTTACGAGATTAATGTTACATTTAATGTAGGTCTAAACCAATAACTTGCGCGCAAATTTTCTGGTTATTCATACAAAATAATCGCAACACTTTTCCACTCAAATGAGGGTAAAATACTACAAACGTAAATTTATTTCTTTTTTGATTTTTTAGCAAAATCGTTTTCATATCTTTCTTTAAATTTACAAGTACCCAAGCTGATCTTTTTTTGGACCTCAGTGGAATTTCTTTTAGAACTATTTAATATACACTAGATCTACTATGCGAGTTATGGCGATAATAAACTTGCATATATTTTTATTTATTAACTATTTTAGCTCTACTATTTTAAAATATAATTTTTAACATTATACGAATATCTTTTTTTCTAGACAAATACCAACATGCAACTTCACAGAATAACAATGGATGTATTTGTCACATGCGTGCAGCGCTTAAAAACCATGAAATACACAGACTAAGTTTGTAGTGTTTTGTTTTCTTGGAATTTTTTTGTGGGGGTGGTGCGTGCTTTTCATTGCTGTTTTTTTTTTTTAATTTATGTAACAAACGCGAGTATTTACATCCCATAGACATAAGAACAAGACAACGTGTTTAAATACAATCTATTACAAACCAATACACTTGTTTACAGATAACGGAAGCCTGATTGAATGTAGGGATCATACAAGCGGCAGCTTTTATCAAGGTTGGTAATATTGAACAGTGTAAGTAATTAAAGTTTGTCATCAATCGTTTTAGGCACATTATGCCTCAGAGATCAATAGTTTTGAATTCTTTATAATTCTGAAACATGTGTTTTGATGTTAATAACTACTTAAACAACTAATTAAAAATGAAACCGAAAATGCAGTAATGTGTCCCAAAGATATGAAAAATGTAAACAATATTCAAAGTAAAACAATCAAATCATTAAAAAATGTACACAGTTACTCGCATAGCAAAAACACTGAAATAGATTTTCTTCTTAATGTAAATAATATCAAATTGGATGTTCCAAACATTTCTTCTGAAACTGTATATATTTATTTCTTTATTTGGTGAAGCTATATGATGAATTTATAATGATCATTTGGTTTACTGTATTGCCCATATTTGTCCTCATTTTTCTAAAAAGGGCATATCCTAGCTTACTTACATATTTATTTGAGTCATGAGGCATGTATAAAAACCAAATTTCAAAAATTCATGTTTACATGTGCTTGTCAAATTCTTTGGTTCGATACAATTTACAAGAAATGCACTCTACATATTTTGCTTTTATGATTGTTTTAAATAATGGTTTAAATTTATTTCAATATTTACAGATATTGATCACAGACTGTTTTCCAATATTGAAGCCCAAGGGTGTATGAACCATAATTACCGTAAGTTTCCTAACAAATAATTATAAATAATTTCATGAACCATAATTACCGTAACTTTCCTAACAAATAATTATGAATGTTTTCATGAACCATAATTACTGTAAGTTTCCTGACAAAAATTTATTATTTTTGCACATTTAACATGATATTGTTTCGTGGTCGGAACCAATCTGTATTGTACACGAAAAGTTCCTAAACCATTATTATTATATGTGTACGAAACCATAATTACTGCAAGTTTTCTGAACCATAATGTGAAACAATTAACTTTACTTTTTCCGAACTATAAATGGTGTTGTTTCATGAATCATAACTATAAAATACTTCCTAATCAAGCATTAGTGTAGCTTATATTATTATTATTATTATTATTATATTCCTAAACAACAATTCCTTTAAGCTCACTGAACTGTTAATATTATTAATTTATTGATTCATATTCATTGTAAGTTTCCTAAATTGTAATTTATTTAAGTCACTGAACCACATCTAACATAATTTATTAATTCTTTCTTAACCTAAAGTAATGTGTGTTTCCTAGCACATATCTAAGGTTAATGTTACTGAACACTATTCTACATACATGTAATTTATATATTTTTTCTGGACCTTAACTACTGTACATTCCCTGGTCCATATATAACAATATTAACCGGTAGTTCATTAGTCCTTCACTACTTTTAAATTTCTAAAACGTTCATTCCATTACTTTTAAGCCTCAATTACTGTCAATAAACATAACTTTAATCACTTACTACATAGTAAGTGTAGCTTTCCGGTACCGTGATTTCTATAACTTTCTAGAAACATGATAATTAGATCGAGAAAAATATTGCAGTGTGGCCAAACCTTGAGAATGTGAGAGACCATTGTTACCATTACCATGATTGTATCGATTGTCAACAAGATCTGATAGTAAGAGCAACATGTAAGTAACAACTAAAGATATATTTTGATTAGTTGACTAGTTGTCGCATTGGCACTGATATTCTCGTATGAACTAATATACATTTTTACAAAATTACGAATTGTCATTAGATACGGAAGTAGCATTTATCACATGCGATTTTTGCATAGGTAAAAAAAGCAAAAACCAAAAAAAAAAAAGAAAAAAAAAGAAAAAAAGAGGGCCATAATGGCCCTTATACCTGATAATGAAGGCTCAGTCCAAATATCCAGGATATTTGGACTTGTTAAGTGTCCCCTAGAGTGTTAACAAGATGTTCGATATAGGGGCTGCAATACCTAGTTTTTGAACCCAGGTTACCCATATTCGATCTTGCCAAAGGAATCATCAAAACATCCTTTCTGACCAATTTCCAAAATATTTGGATCAAAACAGTAGTTTTTAGAGTGTTAACAATGCTTTTTTCTACATATTTTGGCTGTGTGACCTAATTTTTGATCTAAGGTGACCTATATTATGAATAATTTCTATTCCAAGGTATTTGGACCAAAACAGTAGCCTATAGAGTGTTATCAACGTTTATTTTTAATATTTGGGCTGTGTGAACTAGTTTTTGACCCCAGATGACCCATATTCAAACTTGACAACAACCTTCCTAACCAATTTCCAGGATATATGGAAGAACACAATTGCTTCAAGAGAGTTAACAATGTTTTTCTATATTTGGGCTATGTGACCTTAATTTTGACCCAAGGTAATCCATGCTAGAAATCAACAAAACAACCTTTCCCTGACCAATTTCCATGGAATTGAGATAAAAACAGTAGTATTTAAGCTGTGTGACCTAGTTTTTGACCCTAGGTGACCCATATCCGAACTTGACCTCGAACTCATCAAAACAATCTTTCTGACTAATTTCCAGGATATTTGGATCAAAACAGTAGCCACTAGTGTGTTTACAATATTTTTCTGTCTTAAGCTCCTGTGACCTAGTCTTTAACCCGAGATGACCCGAGATGACCCATATTCGAACTTGACCTGTATTTCATTGAGACATACATTCTTAATTTTGATTATGATCCAATCAGAACTGTGGCTGTTAGTATGTAAGCAACCTTCATTCTGTAATATTCTTTCTCTAAGTAGTTTAGTATTCTAGATTGTTCATTGATAGTATATATATCTGATGAATGTAGGTACTTTGATGTGTGTGCTAATTTGTGATATTGTGTGGTGTGGATATACTGATAGTGTGTTATTTTACTTATGGTATCAATAACGCCGCCGACTAAAATAACCCCTATATGCCGCCTTTTTAAGGCGTCACAATAATAAAAGACATATACTTAAATGTGATATATAAAATGTGTGATTTAGAAAATAAACAGCAAACTTATTGATAAAAGTTGGGTGGGGATACGGTTGATAAATTTTGTGCAATAAATAGTTATTTACTTATAAACTGTTTCCAGAGTGGTCTATATATACTTAATAAAATGCATAATTTTCATGATTTAAGTGAACTACCCGAGTGAACATAGTGACAGCTGTGAATGCTCTAGGAGTAAGTATACGGTTATTATAAAACTTCAATAGTGTAATGCTGTTGCTATAATGCATGTTTGTAAAGCCGATTTTCATTGGATGGGCATAATGTCACTTTGCCATTGAATAGGCGCAATCAACACGAGTTTGTAACATTTTCAATATTGTCGTTTTCGAGGTTCTTTAGGGATTCCGTTATTTTTATGTTAATACTTCAGCAGATTCACAGCAAACAAGTGGTCAGCACAATGCACGGGGTTATCTTGAAAAAAAAAACAACAAAAAAAAAAACCTTAAACAAAAGAAAAGAAAATGAAAATGCAAATCTTAATATTTATTTCAGTTAAAGTATCATGAAAAGTTTAAAAACATGTACAGAGTACACTTCTGTGCTCTATTTACACGTAGTAATGCAACTATAATCACACGCTTGGTCTTATATAAAAATAATAATAATAATAATAATAATAATAATAATAATAATAATAATAATAATAATAAAAATAATAATTATGATGATGATGGAAATAATACATCACCAACCCCCAATGAATTATGCGTCTAATGATCTTTTTGAGAAAATAACCATTTTCTAAGACATATTTTGCAGATATTATAAACATAAATGAATAAAATGTCGGCACTAAATTATTTTGTTTTGTCCTGATAATTAATAGTCCGGGTTCTAATAATAACCATGATGATTATAATAGTTATTATTCTTATTTAAAAAATTCAAAATTTAAAGTACCATATTCAATCTTTAATTTACAAGCACTTGAAGGTAAGATAAGAACATGATCAATACATGTAACTATACAAACATAGATCAACTTAAAAAGCCAGTAATATAATGTTTCTTAGAAAGAAAAATACACGCATGTGATTATAAGGCGAAAAAGTAATAATTACACGGTTAGGAAAAGTACCGTGATAATCACACGTACGTCCTTATAAACAACTTCAACAACAACATATTTATTCAGCATAAATTATATCACTTCTAGCCTACATATTAACATCGGAAGTAGTTACATATGTTCCTCATTAAAACGTAGATATGTTATGCAGGGAGACATTGGAATTCTAGTGTCAATTTGAATTGACATTTTTGTTTGAATGTTTTTTTTTTGTAGAAAACGTTTGAAAAATTTTACAATAAAGTTAATGTTATAAAGTGACGTATATGAACTTAATCAGTTAACATAAAATGCACTAGATTACATACCAACAGGATTTAACCGTCATTTTGGAAAAATAAACGGCCGAACGGAACGAGCCGCTTTAATTCGTGTTATTTACATTTATAGCGAAGCATGCGAACAACCATTGCATTAGAATATGGGACAAGTTATTAAACCGTTATCTTTCATAATAAATTTGTAAGGCTATGAATGGCCAAATTTGTTGTGTTGTTTCGGAAAATTTTCGGATAATATGACCTAGTTTTCCCAGTAATCGGTCATTTCAATTACAAATTAATGTCAATTTCAGCAAAGTTAGAAATGAAACAAGGAACCAGAAACAAAGTTTAACACCCTTTACAAGTTATTTTTAAAAAAGGATAAACAAGATCGACAAGGAATGGCGGCGTTAAATGAACACAACCCCACACGACCTAGGAACAAGGATCATCGGCAAAGAGCACAGGAGGACACCAATCAAAAACAGGACAGGGAACAAGGCAGAGCACGGACAGGATAATCATTCTAATAATACATAAAAGGAAATAATAGTAACAGACAAGGAAATCAAATACAATTGTTTAATAAATAAGCCAACAAAGTAAAAGGGCACATGGGAAAGGGAGTTCAAGTACGGGGAAGGGGAGGGGCAAAATTATTCAAAGGGCCAAGATGACCCTAGATCGCTCACCTGACCCATTTAACTCATCCGAGCAATTACTTAAACAAGCATCCTTCTTTATAACAAAAAAACAACTTATGATTTGATGACTCTGATAAATCGTCAATTAACACAACGTTTATGATTGGCTTAATAAGTGAGTATCAATTAAGATAAGTGCGCAAATCCATTTATCCAATTAGCGCATTGATTGCTGCCGATAAACATGTGAACGTGTCATAAGTTATATAATTGTTTTCTTCTCCCCAAATAGAAATACCTCTTTATATATATATTTTTTTGTTTATTTTCGTAGCCTCGGACTTATTTTAGCGAAAATAGCTTATTTTCGGTATCGATCTATACCGACATTTATTTTGTTTGCGCACAGTTTTCATGTTTTGTTAAATAACAGAAATATGTTATGTTACAATTCTTTCGGGGAATACACCATAATGTTATTGAAAAAGAAAACTTCTCATATTTTCTGGATATATTATATTGACCGACAATGCTCTTTAACTTTAAAAAAATAGCAAAATAGCTTAAAGAAACAATCCAGAAGCTTTCTAATGTTCACGAAATTTTAGAAAGTGTGTTTATAAGTGTTTTCTCTTTGTAAAATATCGCTATGAGAACAAATCAATGTACGACATTTTGTGACATTAAAATCTGCAAGAAATACATGGAATACGTCAAAATTTGCAAATTAAACAGCCAATTCTCCGTTAAAAACGGGGTTTATATATGGAAACAAAAAAACCCAGCAAAACACAAAAACATTCCGAAATTATACATACAAGACGAACAAAACGACTGTTAGTTATTGTGAACATTCATTTATTTCATAATTAAGTAAAAACACAGCTTTACATTATGCCATAATTGTTTTTAAATTTTGTATTCTTCATTGCAAAAATAATCAATAATCCACGAGAAACGTTAAACAATCTATATACTACTCAAAATTTGCTAAGGATCACTTTGACTACAGTGCGTTACATTTGTGTATTTGTAATATATGTGAAAATGTATTTAAAGGAACTAAATATGATAAGTAAGAAATTAATTTTTATGAAAATAATGACAATGGAAGTGTTCCTTGACGTGTGCGTGTTGCGGAAATCAACATTATGGATATCACATTGTGGAATAAAAAAAATCTTGCAAATCAGGAAATGGTTCGCGTAGGGTGTTGAATACCGAGTATGTTATCCCCGGGGATTAATTACAACCTGACATCGGCGCCGCATGCTGTTGATGAGCCTGCGGACCTTGTGATGAGAAATCTGTGCCCATTCCACTATGATTGCATGTCTTAGCTTCTGAACTGTTGTTGGTTGGACGTGGCGTAAAGAAATGGGTTTCTGCAGCATATCCCAATAATGCTCAATTTGATTTAAATCAAGGAACCTCGCTGGCCAATCCACGTGGACTAGAGTTGCCTCCTCAAGATACCGGTTTGTGATGTGGGCTCTGTGTGCACGGGCGTTGTCATCCATAAGAATGAAATCAGGGCCGACTGCACCAGCGTACGTGGACGTCACAGATTTCATTGACATACCTTACTGTCGTCAGTGTACCGTTTTCAATGATGCGTAGGTCCGTTTTCCCTTAAGCGCTTATTTACGCCCACCCCATCCAAAACGGTCGTGTTCTGCAACGTATGCTGGAGCTAAGACTTCATTTGGACTTCTCCAAACTTTAGCCAGTCTGTCCGTGAAGTCCACACAAAACCTTGACACATCAGTGAAGAGGACCGGGGTCTAATCATTAATTGTCCATGTGACATGAGTCTGCGCCCATTGCAAACGTTCTTGAATATAGCGTTGTGTCCATGGAATGCGAATTGCTGGCCACCGTGCCCTCAAAACAAAATCTTGTGACCTGTTTCTAACAGTTTGTGTGCTTACATGCACATCAGGTGCATTCTTGAAGTTGTAACGTAAGGTCGTAGCGTTCGGGAACCGTTGGAACCTGAACTGAAGGACAATAAATCGGTTCTGGGCTTGAGTCGTTGAACGTTCCCGACCTCTGGCGTTGCCCTGCAAGACATTTCAAATCATTTGGAATCGGTTCCACATCCTGGAGACAACGTTCCGGGATACCCCAAGGACATGGGCAACGTGCCTTTGTGAACGGCCAGCCTCCAACATTCCAATACCCCTGTTCATCTCATCTTCACTAAGACGACGTCTAACATGTCGATTTGCCATAGTTTGTTTATTTCGAACACATTTTTACAATAACACGAGAGAAGTCTTGCTGCTTGTACAGGATTAAGTGAAAGCACATGGCAATAAAAAACCAAATTCGATGGGTATGCTTTTCCACGTGGTAATTGTGCAAGGTGTACATGACAAATCGATAATTTAAGTACACGATTATGAGGTACCCGTAGCGGAAATATGAATTTGATATGATGATAATAGGAATGAAATATGCAATGTCAAAAAGGTGATCCTAAGCAAATTTTGAGTAGAATCTATAAAAAGCCGTCAGGTTGTATATGTAATTTTAACTGACAAAATACAGTCTTTTAGGTTTAAAGCAGTTTTCCTTATATACTTACCATTTATTACTATTATTTTAGTAAATGAGTATACTAGTCAATCTTTTGAAATGTATAAGTAATTAATTTAAACAATAAACACTTTAACCTTAGCTCGCTTATTCGGAGTTTAATCACTGAAAACAATTTTTTCTTGAAGTGACATTCTAAAAAAGTATCAAATATAAAATAACTATTTCAAACGATACAAAATGCCACATTTGATAAAAAAAATCGTCTGTGTTGATTTATATAATCAGATATATAGCACTTAAGGAAGTGATTTTTAAATTTATATAAATATACATGTACTTACAAATAAGGTTTAACTGGAAAGTTATGATAATTGACTTAATCAATTTAAAAGAGTGATTTCAATAAGAAATGATCTATTATTGTATCTTTTGTAGAACCAAGTACAACACAATCAACAAGACATCCAACAACAACAACAACAACAACAACAACACCAATGCCAACAACAAGAAAACCAACTACTTCAACAACCTCTGTTTCTCGGCGTAATTAAACACTATTTACATTTATTTTAAATAAAATGAAAATTTCTGTAAAAACATAATTGATATAATTGACGAATTTATCCGTGTATCCAGAATATTCATTACTTTATTACTTCTATTGCCATCATCATTTTAACTGATGCACTCATTATTTGAATTCCTCTACTTTTCTGAATTTCTTAAACTATTACCATTTGATAATAAAGTAAAATACAACCACATCTTTCGACAACAAGCTTTTTATAATGTCCAATATTATAATAATGCTCGTTTGTAACGTTGTTTTTCATTTGATAATCGTGTCGTTTTTAAAATCTATATACACGGCTGCAGTCAATTTAGAAATAAAGTTTTTTCTCTGCAATAAAGAAAGTTACAGAATTATAAATTCATTATAAATATTCTAAATTTATATTTAGAGGTTAATACTTGGTTGCTGCTCACCACTATGCGATAATGGCCCGAAGATGTACATAATGGCCTTAGGGCCGTAGGCACATTATCTTCAAAACGTCTTTAATACCTATGCACAAAAACGGCGTTTAGACATCGCCGCTAATCTTGGTTGTCGCTCTTTTTAGAAACGGACAGTAAACGAATATCTGTCATTCAGTTTAACTCTCCAAGGAACTAAGAAAACATGTTAAAACAAAATAAATATGAAAAAAATGTTGTTTATATCGATGTTCAAATATTCTTTATGTTTATATTTTTTGTGAGAAAAACGTTTCGAAGTGCCATTTTCAATGATTTTTTGTTATTGCAAGAACGATTTCTGATGTTAAGCGATCTTTTTTTCAACCGTCAGTCTGAAATCATTTTCAGAATTTCTTAGGGTCATGATTGACTTGCGTACAGTAATAGTATTGTACTTTTTTCTTTAGTGTATCAATCTTCAACCTAAGCTTTGTTGATTGCGATTAATTGTGTCATCTATACTTAAAATTCTATGTGCAAGTGACTATGTAGTTTATTCAACGTCAACAGCCATCTTGAAAGTCACTGAGAGTTGATTACGTCATTTTACACGTGCGCTCATTCACTCACCAATTATGGAAAAAATAATGCCGAGTAGCAAGGCGGCTGAAACTGTATAATGATCTAGATCTTGCCATAATGGCCTTGAAATACCCTAGATTTTGTTACTATATATAGTAACATAGGTATTAAAAGCGTATATAAACGGATATTTGCAATATAACCCTTGCATTACGGCTCTGGTAATATATTCAAACAGTCGTTTACATAGGGCCATAAAACCTGACAAAAATCTTTATTACTATTTATATAACCTTAACATCATACTGTTATAAGAAATACCATATATATACTTTACTATTATTATACTTTTATTACAAGTTCATTTCTTTCAACCTCTTGTACAACTATTACATCTTAAGTTTTCATACACTACATTATCACCCGTCGTCACTCATTTTACCACATCTATTTTTTTCAACTTTGTCATTAACATTTATTTGCATCAAAACTTATATATTGCATTTCTTTATGATTTATTATATATCTATTTCGTCTTTTTGAGTAACTATAACTATTAATATTCATATAGCCTCTACAAACATTACTAATTATATTTCTATAATGGAAGTTAACAATTAAATTTTTTGTTGCGCCGTACATATTGTACCCAACTGTTTATATAAAAGCTCAAGGCTCCTTTTTGTCGTCTTTATTAACCACATCCCAGGATGTTGAATTCTAAGTACTACAATCTGTTGCAATCATTGACTTTTGCTTAAACCATTGTTACGATGTACGGACGGTACTTTGCATTATCTATTTTCGTATAAATAGTGAAATCGAGTTGCCAAATTTCCCTCTATTTTTCTGTTATTTGATAGATTTTGTATGTGACAAACGTTCCGTTGTTGAATTTATTGCCCTACAACAACATACATCACATCAAAGGGCTAGCCCCTGTGATCCAAGTAGCGGCGGAAGTGACGATGCCTATGTTCTTGCCTCGTGCAATGCCACATCACCGATGACGTGGAGAAGAGGGCAAAACGTAAAAAGATTTTTAATATTGCATATTTTTAAATTTTAATATGTTGTTTACCTCGATTTTTTAAAAAACAAAACCACACTACTTCAAGTTGAGATCAATGTTCAACTAATATTACGATACCGGTGAATGACTGAAACTAACATATTCGAATAATAAAAAAGAACATCTTTTGTGTTGTATATTGGGCATTAGTATTATAATTTGTTTTATTCTCTCTAATTTAAGTCAGTTATTCACATAAATAAAGCTTAATAAAGGCACACTAAGCCTGACAAATTAATAAATAGTTCGTTTTGTAGAAAGGGGTTAATATGTTTTTTTTATATTATTACCCCTCACTTTTTTCGTAGTGTTAATTTCCCATAGGCCTCTGGGAGTTATTCTTACTGTTAATGCAAGTGTACCACGTGACTAAGAATTTTGTACTGTTACATAGGTAACAGTTTTTTAACAGTATAAAACCTGGTCGCGTGGTCTATTTTCTAAATAAAGTGAAATAAAATGGCAAGATTAAAGCATGCAACAAATGATTATTTAACAATTTTAACCAGTGAAACGTTACAGATAGAGTTGATGGACATACATCTGTAGGATATCATCGTTATTTCACGCCTCGGGTAACAGTATTTTCAACGGGATGATATTTTTACTGTTACCCACAAACCCATGTGTTATTTATATAATGTTGTCATAATGGATTAAGAACATGTGAGATGCTTATCACATGACGTAAAAAGCGCTGAATATGAAGTAATTTGTAATAAATGATGAAAAATGTAAACAAAGTGGTATATTTACTTCCATACAAAATACTAAATCACTACAACTGTACTTATTGCCAAAACGGAAAAGAAGCGAAATATGGTTCATCTATGTAGCGAATGAGTAATGTTTTGGAAACTGTATCAGCACACCAAAAGTGAAAAGCTTTTGAAAAAATGAAAATGGTAATATTTTTGGGGTCATATATATATATATATATATATATATATATATATATATATATATATATACATGTATGCCTTTAACTTTCTTATCAATTGGTAATTTTGTTTTATATTTTAGGTTATGGCTGACTGTGAATCCCACACACATATGATTCCAGGATTTACTCCAATATCGACATTTGAACATGCCAACTATGACGCCTTAGGTTCACAATCAGGTGTATTCCTTGAATGTTACAAAAGCGGATTTAAGGTATAAAACAATAAGGGAAATTATATTTATCATTTCAATAAAATATACAAAAACATAGAAAGGGATTAAATTGGTACATGTGTATCTTTTAACATTAAAGGATTCATGTATGATTTTACTTTATTTATATTTCTTATATAGTTTTATACTTTGTTAAATATTGGGTGTTTCAATGAAATCTAAAAGAGATACTCTGAAACTTGGCAAATGTCGGGTTTTCCCTATTAATCGTAATAAAATGGGAACCAATGTTACCTGAGTAGTTGCGCAAAAAGTATGTCACCGCATAGAAGAGAAACGGACAAGATTAACCTAGAAATTGATTTATAATTCCTGCCTATAATATTAAGTCATTTTCACGCGCATCTAAAGCACACTTAAAATCGTTAAAAGTAAAAGCGATTGAGTGTTGTTTTTTTCCGGACTGGACTTTTAAGACTTGTAGGTCTATACCAATAATGTTAGAACATTTCAGATCATTTGCTCAAATAATCATTTTCATTGTGGAAGAAAAATGAAATGTGTTTTAACACAAATCTGGCTAAGAATAGTTAATTACTGATTTGATATTTAATTGTTTTTGTATATTTTTTTTTATTATCGTTTACTTTTTTCCGTTTCAAAGGCACCTCTTGCATCTATGTAAGATTTTCAACATTTTCATTGTTAGGTTTTTGGGTCATATATTATATGTTAATCCCAAAGAAATGAATAAGATTCTGATAATAGCAATCAAATAAAACAATAAGACAATGCTACCAACCGTCCATACAAGCTAGTATTTGTTTCTACATATAGTTTTATTTTGAACTATTTCGTCAGTCTTCATTTGGTATTTCAGATGGCGGTACAAAAATGTAATGGTGTACCAGAAATAGTTCACGTTGAACATGGAGCATTTACTAATAATCCAAGAAATTATTATGCTATTGTTACATATTGATATTTGATGAGTTATCCCTTGTAACAGTTTTCATTTGTATAAATGAAAGGATTTTACGTTAAAATATAAAACATTCAATATCAGTGTTATGTTGATGTTTTGTTGTTGTTGTTGTTATTATTGTTTATTATTTATTATTCACTCAAATGTTTTAAAGCCAGCTTCAGCTTTTATTTTCTGTTGGAAAAAAAATTCTGTGTTGTTTCAAACTAAGTATTTCAGAAATTTTAAATTGGAAAAGTGCATCATATCACTGTAAAGCTTTCTTCAAGACCAGTTTATTACGCGTAAAGCGACTCTCGTTTCTATAAACAGAAGAGCAGGAGACGATTTTACTAATTAAAATATAGAGATAGAAAGATTGGGATGTGGGGGGGATTGTTCATGTATTTTATCGTCGGCTAATTTCATTTCCATCTTAATTTTTTGATTTGACAATTATATGAAACAATTTAACAAAAGAGAAAACAAAACATATTTTACCTGAAGGCAGCTTTAAGGGAAGAATTTCTCGAGAGACTTGCATTAATACAACACTATAATAACAGTAAAGGTACAGAAGATTTTTTTTTGAACTTTGCCATAATGCAGTTGAGTCTAGAGAATTTGGTGGTCAAGGTCATATTTCAGCCTGTCAAATGAAAGACAATGTGCAGATGTGTCTAATGGTCAGATACATATGCCATTGTTCAATAATTTATAAGAAAAGTATTCGTACTTGACAAATTATAGGTATTTTCTGTATTGTACAGATGTAATAATCTTTAAAATACAGTTTAAGTAATTGTTTTTTTCAATAAAACATTACCAATATCTTCAAACATGAAAATCATTTAAGATCCAAAATCATCATTATATACATGTAGTGAATCATAATGCTCAAATTATTTGATTAATACCACTGCAAAGGTAACATCTCTTTTGCTGGAGGTCTTGACCTCAAACCATTTAATAAATTTCTCTGAAAAGCAAACATTTCACTAGCTAAAGGTTATTTCTTTTACACTAACTCCTAGCTATTTAGTCTTTTTTTATAGAAAACTTGCATAACATGTACACATGTACAAAAAACATTCCAAATAAGATGTTTCTTTCCATTATTCAACTATAATTTGAATGAAAGCAATTATCACTTTGGGCAAGGTCAATGTTGACCCAAGCTATAAGTTGAATAAGGGAACATTGACCCAAAGCGTTCACCTGAGGACAGACTGCCATTGGTTTGAAAGCATTGAAAGCTTGTTTTATTACAAGAATTGGAACAATGTTGGTCACTAGACCGTACTTAATGTAAAATATATTTTTTAATTATTATATATACAGTGTCCTTATTTCATAGCTGTACATCAAAAACAAGAAAATAGGTCACTAGGTCAATATCTAGGTCATTTGATATCAAATTACAGGTATGCATTTGAAATTGTGCACAAAGTAAAATTGTCATATCTTTATAAAAAGCAAACGGAGGTTTCTTCATCATAATCTTGATAAGGTGTAACTAAAGTTCAATTTACATCTCAATCCCTGCACGTGGTCCAAATTTCATAGCTATACATTAAAGGATAAGAAAAAATGTCACATCATCAGAAGATAGGTTAGCTGATATCAAAGTTGAATTAGCTATACATCATGGGACAAGACAGTAGGTCACTGTCTCCCCTTGGGCAGGACAAAAGTTTGACTCAAAGGTGTAATTAAAACAATCTTTTACAAATAGTCCACCAGGCAATGTTTCGTGTCCAATATCTAAGCTCTAGCTTTCTCCTATTCAGAAAACGTTTGTTTTGGTTTCTGTTTTAACAATATGAACATAATAAAAAAGCCATGAATTTCGGGATGGGCCAATTTTGAACCCAGGGCTATAATTTGAACAATCCGGATAGAGGTCTATTACACAAAGTTTCATGCAAAATATCTAACTTCTAGCCTTTGTCAAGAGAAGATAAATTATTAAGCTATAACTATATACTTATAACGAAGATCTATGAGCCCCCGGGACAGGGCCAATTTTGACAACAGAGGAAAATATTTAACAACTTTGGCGGCAGACCTATGGATGATACTTTGTACCAAATATCAAAGCTTTTAGTCTTGTACCTTCACTCAATTTTTAAAAAAAAGTTTTTACTTTATGTACATAATGAAATAAATGACTTCCAGGCTGGGGCATTTTTGATCCCAGGGCTGTAATTTGAACAATCTTGGTGGAGGTCCAATACATAAAGGACATATAGATGATATTATATATTAAATACCAAAACTACTTTTTACTATGTGTAAATTGTGAAATCAATGACCCATTTGGCGGGACCAATTCTTACCCCAGGGCTATAATTTGAACAATCTTGGTTAAGGTCCGCTAAACAATGTTTCATGCCAAATATCTAATGTCTAGCGTTTGTAAATTTAGAGAAGTGTTTTTTTTAAAGTTTTTACTATATACATAAAAGAAAAACCTATGACCCCCGGGCTAATGGTAGCGGCCTACTTAATATAAAAGATATCAGCCAATAAATAGAGGCTGAATGAGCAATACTGTCAAAATACATTTTGTCACCGGATATCATGACTCCAGTTACCCTTACTACAAGGTATTTTTCTATCAAATATAAAATACCTCGGCTAATGAATAAAGGCTATATGAGCAAATGTGACCACATGAACTAATACTTTACTAGAAGTAAGAGGACCGTTTAAAAACGAAAACTTGAGATACAACCCACTTGCCGGAAATGGGCTACGATGCCACGTTTTAATTATTATTAAAAGAGATATAACTCGGGGAAACTGATGCCACAGTTATTCTACGAGTACTGTCTAACATCAGGTACGTTATGCTATAAAGGGATGGACCTAG